GGACGGCGTGGCGCCGCAGAAGATGTTGATGGTCCTCCTCCGCACGCGTTCTCCACCCACATCAAAGGTCCGCATTGCCTGCGTCGGAGCGTCTGTCTGGAACAAAATAAATCTACCGCGGTGCTGGCCACCGAGGAAAATGCAGGCCGTCCGGATGCACCAAACGAAGCTGCTCTCAAGCTGCTCTATTTTCGATTGCCGATATTAGAACAGCAGACCCCGCCGTGGCACCACTGCAGCTCCCGCCGGGGACCACCCTGTCGCAGCTGAACAATACCGAGGTCACGGGCCGCGCAAGCGTGGATCACCAAAAGGAGACTGCGCGATGGGGTCCTCACACGTGGGGCGGCGTGAAATTTTTTTTTCCAGGTAAAAAACAAGTCTGAAGTCCTGGCAAATTTGCAAAAATGACCGGAAAATAGGTTTCCGGTTTGCTGCCCGCGGCTGCCTAAAGACCTAAACCCTCAGGTAGTAATGGAAATAAAGTGCTACCTCTCAATAAACGTATTTTTATGAGTCAATCAATCACGCATTTCACTTCTCACTACAGGCTGGCCTCGAACGGAAAGATAGTGGACGGGTTTCGCGAACAAACATATCAGAGGGAAAAATCTCCCCGTATTGCTGTTGCTGTTGGTGGTATCATCTGCAAACCGGCTTTTATGAATTGCAAATATGTCTGGGTCTGTAAGGATGCGAACTTGTCATGCAGATTTTACATGGCCCGTGACGTCTGTGATGTATTCCCTGGCATCACAGGTTTTCTGACTGCTTCTTGATGCGTATTCCGCATGACAAATGACCTCTCCGCGTAGCAGAAACTGGACGCCTCTTGCTGATCATGCAATACAGATTTTTCTAGAATCCAAAGTTAGCATCACAAGTTCCAACTTTTCAGACCCAGACACTTTTGTAGTTGATAGCTTTTTTTCGACGACAACGTATCATCTGCAGCGAGGTGAAGTACTGCGGTTCGCTGTTCGACTCGGAGGAGAGCAACGCAATGCGGTGGAAGCACGCGCCGGAACAAACGGAGCCGCGGGACAAAGCGGCTCTCGCCGCCGCCCCGCCTGCAGCGCTGTTTGGGTGGGAAAATCACGGATTGCTCAACGAGAAGTAAACGACGTACTTCCTACGTCGGCGGCAAGGAGACGCGGGACAGGCTGACACTCCAAGGCGCAGCCGAATTATCAGCGCTGCCGCTGCTGCGGGGCAAGAAAGCAGGACAGTTGGAGGACGGCTATCCACTAGAAAAAACCCTCGCGCCGCTACTGAATGGCAACAAGGATTGGCGGCAAGCTGCACATGGTGAGGCATAATTTTCAGGGGTTCAATCATTGATCACAAAACGCAGTGTTTTTTTCGTAGTAAGTGCCACTCCTTTCGCTTTTGGTTTCAGTGCGATGAAATAAGTTCGTTTGATTTATTTCAGGAAAAATTTTTCTCTGCTCTTTCTAAAAACAAAATGTAGTGAGGCTAAAAAGTAGGACTGTGGGCTGCCAGAGGACCTGCTGCCGAGCCCGAAGTGTATTCGCCCAAGTGAGTACTACCGACCCACCAAGAACATCGAAACGGAGGCTGATGTCGTGCCGACGGAGAAAAATCAGCCTCTGGCCAAAGGTGGCACAGCCAGGGAGGACGACGGCAGTACGATCAGCGCTGCCGCAAGGCATTTTTCATCTTCACCCTCCTGTTCTTCCGGCAGCTTCTCACCGGTTCTGGCGGCGCAGAGGAACGTTCCGCAATGGGTTCCGCGTACGCGAAAATGGCTGCTGCAAGCATTATCTTCCCAACAGTGGAAGGGAGTATTCCTGCGGGACGGCGTGGTGCCGCACAAGATGTTGATGCTCCTCCCCCGCTGCACCCGTTCTCCGCCCACATCTGCATCAAAGGCCCGCATTGCCTGTTTCGGAACGTCTGTCTGGAACAAAGTAAATCCGCCGCGGTGCTGGCTGCCGAGGAAAGTGGAGGCCGTCCGGATGGTGCACCAAACGATGCTGGTCTCAAGTTGCTCTATTTCCCAGCGCCGAAAGAACAGCTGACTCCGTGGGACCACTACCATCTGGAGCATCTGCAGAACCAGCCTGGGACCTGTCTCTCGCAGCTGAATACCGAGGTCACTGGCTACGCACGGGTGGATCACCAGAAAGGGATTGCGAATGGAGTCGTCCAGGATAGCGTGCCGGTTTATCCAACAGAAAAGATGTTGAACTGCAATACAGCAGCACTATACATACTAGCGGACGTTTGTTGTTTTTGTCATGCACCATTCCGCTGTGCAGAACAGCTAAAGCACTACTCACTTCCAGCCCGCTCGTCGCTCAAAAAAGATATAATTTGTTCTTTGTACCGCCATCGCGTGATCTATGCTGACTTGTTTCCAATTTTTTTTCCATGTATACGGTCGTGGTGGTGCCACCCCCTGACTCTACTTCCAACGATGGTCGCAGTTTCATCGACAAAATCACCTCCCCAGGCCAAAGGTGGCACGACAACCAGAGACGACGGCAGTACGATCAGCGCTGCCGCAAGGAGGGACACCAGGAGCCGACGCCGTGATGTTCTGTGACCGCAGTGTCAAAGATCGGGAATCGGAGCACAAATCGCTGCCCCCACCGTGAGGGAAGTCGTACAAATACGCCACTGCACCGAGGAGGACGACCCAGCAGCATGTCGCCTGGAACAAAATTCCACCACTGTGGCCGGAGACAGCGCAGGCTCAGCTGGAAACCAAACGACGCCCGTAGCCTCCTGTACTTCCGATCGCCGAAAGACCAGCTGGACCCGTGGAACCACTACAATCTGGAGCATCTTCAGCTCCCGCCGGGGACCTCCCTCTGGAAGCTGAGTACCGAGGTCACGCGCTGCGTACGGGTGGATCACCAGAAAGAGATTGCGAGTGGAGTCGTCCAACACAAGCTGCCGGGTTATCAGACAGAAAAGATGAACTGCAAGAATACAGCACCACTATACAAAACATCTCTCATTCGCCTTCGGTATACAAATCATCTGTCATGCGTTTTTCTCACGGGCACCGCTGTGCAGAACAGCTTTTGCGGCATTTCTTCCTGTTCGCTCGCTCCAAAAAGCTACAATGTTTTCGTTGCACTAATATGAACTGAAACATGATTGCGCAGCACTGTAAAACTGATTTTCAATTTCCTTTCCATTTCCCGGCTGATGGCGTGACTTTCCCAGCTGATGGCGGACGAACAGCGACGAAAGGAAGGCGCTTCGCAGTTGCCGATGCTGTGATGCGCAATACGTACCACACGACGACTACACGGAGCGGAGAAGCTGGCGCGGCTGAATTCGGAGCGAAAATCGCTAGTGCAACAGGTTCTACACGCTGCTCTACTTCCGCCGAAGCAGGAGTTACAACCCTGCAGCCGATCATTCGCTAGTGCGTGTCTGGAGCGCTACGCCCCGCCGTACAACTACCGGGTGGTGCAGCACGGAGGCGGGCAATAAAGTGCAACTGCAGCTCCCGCCGGGGACCACCCTCTTATCAAATGCAAAAATGTCTGGGTCTGTAAGACTGCGAGATTTGTCATGCTTGTCTGGGATGACCGAAAAGTTTGTGATGCGTGTCCAAGAAAAGACCCTTTTGCCTGTCATGCAAAAACGCAGTTTGTCATGCCAAAAACGCAACACAAAGAAGCGCAGATATTTCTCATGCTTCGCTGTGCATTACAGATAATTCCCGATTCCCAACGCAGCATCACAAGTTTCCAGACCCAGACATTTTTGCATTTGATATCCCTCGCAGCTGAACCAGCACAAATCGCTGCCCCCACCGCGAGGGAAGTCGTTCGTGGTAGCTGCGAACTGGTGCGGTCGCGCAAAAACGAAAACCGAGGATCAGAATGGTCACAGTAAAAACACCTACCTGACCGAGGATACTATCCCCGCAGAGGGCGAAACGGCGTCGCAGGTACAACGAGCGGTAAAATGGAGCCAAACTAACACGGAAGCCGATAAACAGCGCCGCGCTTTCCTAAATAAGCCGATAGCCAGATGTGATCCACCGCTGTATAGGGCGAGCGCGATGACAAGAGGTCGTGGAAAGGCAGAGAGCCACGAAGTGGAGACCGATGCTGCCCGAGCGCTCGACAGGGAAGAGTACGCTGCCACACGACTGCTCCACGAGGAAGAACAGCGCTTCCTCGAGGGAGAAGCGGACGAGCATGGATCGGGGCGCAACCGTGATCGTGCGCAAAACTATATGTCAAAAATGAAAATGTATCAGGCGAGCCTTTATGAAGAAAATCGAAATGGCCCGTCAACACCCACAAATGGCAATGCAAGTAGCGCAGAGAGCTACAGCAGAACATCACACCCCGATGAACCTAAACGAGCAGACGGAGGTGCAGAAAAAAGTGGGCGCTCGGCGTCAGGTGGCCATGCCCAGGCTGCGGCTGGAACTACGACGACCAGATGCGAAAATAAATTGGCAAGACGACGAGGAGGAGGACTATACCATGCTACAACCACACGGTAGGCAGTCTGTGGCCTTCATTCCGTTCATCTTCGGAGCGCGACTACAACGAGGGCAAGTACTACTACCCGAAGATAGAAATAATCATCTGCCCGGTAAAAATGTATCGTCTGTCCGTGCTGGACCGGCGGGCGGACCGTTCCGCGATCTCGTTCTCGGACGGCGGGCGAGGCAGAATATGGAATGCAAAAGTATCGTACTAGTAGTAGTTGCATTACAAATTTGCTTAGCATGACAAATGAGATTTGTAGTGCTGTTTTACCTTGGAAAGGAGATTTGTCATGCCGAACAGCAATTACTACGAGTGCGGCATCACTTTTGCAGAGCATATAGAGCGCAGTTCTGAGACGGTGGCTCCACACGGAACTTCTACACATGCAGCTGCTGATGTGGCCGCCACCAAAGCTGGAAATGAACAAAGCCACGTAAAAGTGCTGCCACCCAAGATGAACGGGCACCAAAGCAGTCGTGCCCAGTATGAGTACGGTCTGCTGATCCGGCGGTGGAGGCTGGACGAGGGTGACGAGAAGAACAAATCCTTCCCCTTATCGTAAGGAAAAATCCTCCCTCCCCGTATAGAAAAGGAAATTTGTGATGCTGATTTGTGACCACAGACGAGCTTCGTCTTGCGTACAAGGCAAACGGCTCCCATGTGGCCGCGCATGGTGCAGCGAGTCTGTCATGCGTTTCCGCCAATGTCAGACTTGTTTCTCATGCCCTGCTGCTAGCCGGAGGCGTAGTACCCAAATGGGCTTAGAATTATATGCCGACAAGCTCTTGGCGCAATAAAAAGCTCATTTGTGTACACGAATCCTGCAACACAAATTGTCTTTTGAATATGTGGAGGGGTCTTTTTTCACTTTGATACCCCTCCGGGTATGCGCTGGAAGAGTATCTGCAGGAAAAACCGCGCCGGTCATCGGAAATATCCGAGCGGAGCTGCGTAGGTGGACAGTGTGAAGAAAACACGACGCAGGAGGCAGCAGATGACGTCACGGACCTCGTGCCCGAGAAGCATGGTCACAGTAAAAGCCACGACGACCATATCGTCGCAGGCAGCGGTAAAATGACGCAACTAAACACGGAAGTCGCAGATCTCGCCTCCCTAGCGGAGATCACGATAGCCAGAAATGATCCGCCGTATAGAACCACCAGCGCGAAGATGACAGGAGGTCGTGGACAGGCACAACCAAAACGCCACGAAATAGCAGAGACCGATGCTGGTCGTGCAAGACCAATCGACAGGGAAGAGGACGCTGCCACGCTGCTCGATGCGGAGGAGGAACAGCGCTTCCTCGAGGGAGAGGACGACGAGCATGGATCTTCGGGGCGCCACTACCGTGATCGTGCGCAAGAGTATATGAAAAAAATGGAACAGATATACCAGGCAAGCCTTTATGAAGAAAATCGAAATGGCCCGTCAACTTCACCCACAAATGGCAATGCAAATAGCGCAGAGACGAGCTACAGCAGAACACCACACGCACACCCCGATAAAGAACGAGCAGACGGAGGTGCAGAAAGAAGTGGGCGCTCGACGTCAGGTGGCCAGGGCAAGGCTGCGTCTGGAACTACGACGACCAGATGCGAAAATAAATTGGCAAGACGACGAGGAGGAGGGCTACACCCTGCTACAACACGGTAGCTCCGCGATCTCGTTCTCGGACGGCGGGCGAGGCAGAATCTATGTGAACAGAATCTATGTTGTACAGTAATCGAAAGAACCAGCACCGGAAAGACGGAATCACGACTCGGAAGAAACCTGATTCAAGAATCGAACGGAATCCTGATCCAAGAATCGTCGAACGCGCCAGACAGTCCTCCACTCGAAAGAACACTCGTGGCTTAGGGGCACAGGCGGGGGAATAGACATCTTCACCTTCCTCAAAAATTTTGAACTCGAAAAAGAAAACTGTGTTGAACCTCTGCTACTTTTTTATCTGACGCAAGCCAAAGGGGGCCACAAGAATGTGAGACTATGAATAAAAGATTTTGGATCGATACAACAACGGTGAATAGCCCCGTCCCGCGAGTTTATGTCTTTTGCTGTTTCGAAAAACCTTTGGCTCCGAAAATGTCTATTTTTCTTTGCCTGCACGTGTTACCTCCCACTTGAGTACCCCGACCAGCAGTAGTAGTAGTAGTAGTAGTAGTAGTAGTAGTAGTAGTAGTAGTAGTAGTAGTAGTATTACCCAACAAAATTGTCGTTGTCTTCACACAAGTGACCACCACTCTATGCCTCTACTAGGTGGTACCGGGGGGCAGGAAAAAAGGCCGCGATACACAGCTCAAGAAGGGTGGAACTACACGGTCCACTTCTTTTCTCCACCTGTACTTGCACAGTGCAGGAACTGTACAATCGAAGAACGAACAAGACGAGCTGGCGCGGCGCTGATATTTGCATTCCCAGTTGAGGCTGGAAAGTGAATTTTGAAGTTTGACGCCTTTCGGAGGTATTCAGCAACGGTGTTAAAAATCGTTTGATGCTTTGCATGGCACCAGTTCTTTATTCTGTATCTGATTCTTTTTCCGGGGGAGCAATTTTCCATCTATCTCCATCTATCACTTTCACTTGTGTAAAGACCTAAACGTACATTAGCGGTAGAGTCGACTGGCGACGTCGCTCTTAGTCAGGAGGCTCTTGACCGCTGGAGGCTGTTTGGAGGAACAAGCGGAGCACGCGGCGCGTCGCAGCACCAGGACCGGATGCCGTGTTCTATGACTACGGCGGCAATCGAGAGTTTCGGACAATTCCGCGACCCCGTTCTCCGAGTCTCAACGAGGAACGGACGCTCCGCCACGGAGTAGCGCAGTAAGGGTTGCTGTCGCGAACCGTATCTCGCGTCCCCGGCTGACCTGCACAAGAACGCACGAGCGAACCCGCTAAAACAAAGGCGCCATGGGAAAGTATGCTCTTCGCGCGAGCGCGATCTCAGACCGACCGCAAGCTGCAATAGGCGCAGCATGCCGTAGTGCAGCACAGGCCGCTGCTACGAGCAGTAGTATCGCGTCCCCGACCAACCCGCGCGAGACCAACGAGGCCGCTCCACTATCTAAAAGGCGCCATGGGAAAGTATGCTCTTCGCGCGAGCGCGATCTCAGACCGACCGCAAGCTGCAATAGGCGCAGCATGGCGCACTGCAGCACAGGCGGCTGCTGCGGGCCGTAGTGTCGCGTCCCCGACCAACCCGCGCGAGACCAACGAGGCCGCTCCACTATCCAAAAGGCGCCATGGGAACATATGCACTTCGCGCGATCGCGATCTCAGACCGACCGCAACCTGTGATACGCGCAGCATGGCGGACTGCAGCATAGGCGGCTGCTGGGAGCTGTAGTCTCGCGGGAAAAGCGGGCGTTCTTGTGGACCCAGCACAAGGAACCGACCGCAAGACCACGTGGTGGGCACAGAGAGATGGGCGCCGACTTTCTGCCACGTTCAGGACCTGGCGCCGTGTTCTAAGTAAGACTACACTCCCAGGGCGAGGAATGTGACTGCTCTAAGTAGGTATGGTGCGCTTGCAATTCGAATTCGCTTCGCTATTTTGTTTTTATCGTCCCCCGTTGTGCCCCCGACGAGCCAGGCCTTTGCATTTTTACAACCCCCTTCGCCGTTTTTGCCCGCGGCAAAAATGACGCCCCCCAGAGTTATAGTCTGCAAATTCTGACGCTGACCCCCCGCCCTGTAGAGCCATTTGAATCTCTAGAAAGTCAGCTCCGCGATCTCGTTCTCGGGCAGTTCCGCGACTTCGGTCTCGGACGGCGGCAGCGGAAGAATCGAAAGAACCAGCACCGGAAAGACGGAATCGGTCGGAAGAAACCTGATTCAAGAATCGAACGGAATCCTGATCCAAGAATCGTCGAACGCGCCAGACAGTCCTCCACTCGAAAGAACACTCGTGGCTTAGGGGCACAGGCGGGGGAATAGACATCTTCACCTTCCTCAAAAATTTTGAACTCGAAAAAGAAAATTATGTTGAACCTCTGCTACTTTTTTATCGGACACAAGCCAAAGGGGACCACAAGAATTGAGGAGCAGAGTTGAAGGTCTATTAACAGTACTTGCGATTATTTGTAGAAGTCTAGCGACATTTTTATGTCGGAGTGACACGGGGCATAGCTTGTGGGTCGTGGGGTTCCAAGCCGATACGGTATCGAGCCAAAATCCGCAAAAATGCGCTGTGAGACTATGAATAAAAGATTTTGGATCGATACAACAAATCGGTGAATAGCCCCGTCCCGCGAGTTTATGTCTTTTGTTGTTCCGAAGAACCTTTGGCTCCGAAAATGTCTATTTTTCTTTGCCTGCACGTGTTACCTCCCACTTGAGTACCCCGACCAGCAGAATTGTCGTTGTCTTCACACAAGTGACCGCCACTCTATGCCTCTACTAGGTGGTACCGGGGGGCAGGAAAAAGGGCGCGATACAGGTACAGATTGATGAAGAAGGCAGCTCAAGAAGGGTGGAGCTACACGGTCCACTTCTTTTCTCCACCTGTACTTGCACAGTGCAGGAACTGTACTTACAATCCAAGAACGAACAAGACGAGCTGGTGCGGCGCGGATATTTGCATTCCCAGTTGAGGCTGGAAAGTGAATTTTGAAGTTTGACGCCTTTCGGAGGTAAGCAACGGTGTTCATCGTTTGATGCTATGCATGGCACCAGTTCTTTCTGTATCTCATTCTTTTTCCGAGGGAGCAATTTTCTATCTATCTCCATCTATCACTTTCACTTGTGTAAAGACAAACGTACATTAGCGGTAGAGTCAACTGGCGACGAGGCTGGCTCTTAGTCAGGAGGCTCTCCGCTGGAGGCTATGGGAGGAAGCGGAGCACGCGGCGGGTCGCAGCTTTTTACAACCAGCACCTCGTCGACAGGATTTCGATTTACGGCGAAATACACCGTACTACACACACAGGGGCTGCTGGCACCAGAGGCGAAGGGTTTTTTCTTGTGGGCCGCCAAGTTCCTCTCAAGCGATGCCGGGGCTGCGTGTGTGTATTGAGACGATGGCGTTTATATGTATGTGTACGGGTCTGCTTTGTCCCCAGCCCTATGTTGACTCACTTGCAAACAAAAGCACTGTCCGTTGAACAGACCGAGTTCAAGCACTACAGAAAAGGCGCGCCGCGCCACTAAAAGCTGCAGGGTGGCTTGTCATGCTGGGTCTGCCAGCAAAGTGCTGACTTTTGTATGCAAATTCAAGACGCGGAGGAACGCGGTGTGAGCCACTGTGTATCTCATGAATGCACTCGATACAAGCAAGCTGCGCAAACACGGGGCCCTGGCGATCCGGCCTTGCGCAAATCTGGAGCCGCCCGAGCAGGCGCGAGCAGGAAACCGACTGTGCTTGTGGACCCACAAGCCACAAGGCCCCCGCTGTGCCCCCCGACGAGCCAGGCCTTTGCATTTTTACGACCCCCTCGCCATTTTTGCCGGCGGCAAAAACTACGGCGCCCCCCAGAATAGTCTGCAAATTCTGACCCCCCTGTTGAGCCATTTTAATTTATAGAAAGTCGCCCGGTTATTTTTAGGCTTGTGTGGTCAGCAACTACTTCGATTTCCAACTCGCCTTTTCAGGAACAAGCGGCAGCACAAGGACGGCCGCAGCCGGGGCCGGAAAATCTAGGTATCCCGTCTCGCCTAAAAATATTTTCGTCTTTTAATTATAATTTGTGGCCCAAAAGCAGGTTCAGAGCAGCAGAGCGGCCGAGCGGAGCTGTGGCAGACGTGGCGCTACTTTTGTATATTTTCGTACGAGGACGAATAGAACCTGTATCTGCGCTGCGCTTGTTACTGCCCTCAAGTTTATTCCATTTGCATTTCCGTAATTGATGATGAAAATGTACCGAAGTAGCCACAGTTCGTCCGCTTTATCATGTTTTGTATGCATAAAATTCATCTAAAAGGCCGGCGCTCTTCTTGAGTTTCTTAGCTTGTAAAAAAGTAGTTTTGCGATAGGGTACTATTAAGCACTCTAGTGGTTAATGAGCTTTCTTCTCGCACTGGCGCTCGAGCCATGATGCGTGCTGCTCTACGAAGAAGGTCTTCCTGCGAGGTTTGTCGTGTGTTCAAAAAAGATAGTAAAGCTGCGTATCAAAAAATGCAAATGGCGAAGAGGCGATAGTGGATCATCATCATAGAGAATCAAATTGCTGCGTAATAAAGGACGTGTACCTCCTCTGAAAGAGATAATGAGTAAATACTCCGTCGTGATAAAGTTGGATGTTTGTGTTGTGAGAACAAAAACTGCTCTTCACATTATGATTTTTCGACGTGCGCAAATGCCGGCAGGAGGCACGCGCGTCTTTCGGCACTCCATCGGTGAGAAGCCGATGCTGAATTTTTGTACTTCATAAAAAAATTTTTGATTGCAGCAGGAGCACTCGATAACAGTAAAAGTGCGAAAACAACCTTTAGTGCCGTGCAAAAACGGCTCTGCACGGCAAAAGTCGTGAGCGGTGACTGGAGCGGCCCTGGAGGAGCGTCGCGAAGCACAAGCCATCGGCGGTTCCTCCCGTTTTTTTCCTGCGAACTACGGAGGCAGACGGGGACTGCAACAGCTATGGCGTTTGCAGTATCAACATCTTCTTTCTTCACCAACACGGCCGCTTTCTTCACCAACACTTTGACGACGCCACAGAGGAAGTGCTGATCGACCAGCTGCTCATACACGACTAGCCACACGTAGAGGAAGAAATCGCCCAGCATGACGTCGTCGCAAGCGGGTGTTGCTCCGCAAGACATCACTTTGGTGCCGCAGCTGCTGTGCGTGCCTGAACCGTCGCTGACTTCCGTCCAGGACAACAGCGCGGCGAATTCATCTCGGCAATCCGGGACGAGGAGTGAGTGTTCTGCGACCATGACGGCGTACGGCAATCCGTCGTGGTGGAGCCACGTGATCATCTTGGAGGCGCTGTAAGCTCACGCGGTTTCTTCACTTCGGAACGTGAGCGGGATGACGCTCCTTTTCCTGCCACCCCGCATCCGCAGCAGGAGCTGTTGTGCGCGGCGCGTTTTCAACATCTTCACCCTCCTGTTCATCTTCCGGCAGCTTCTTGTAACCCGTTCTGGCGGCGCAGAAGAACGACCCGCAGTGGCTGCGTCGTACGCAAAATTAGCTGCTGCTGCAAGCATTATCTTCCCAACAGCGGAAGGGAGTATTGTTCCTGCGGAGCAACGGCGTGGTGTCGCAGAAGGTGTTGATGCTCCTCCCCCACTGCACCCGTTCTCCGCCCACATCTGCATCAAAGGCCCGCATTGCCTGTTTCGGAACGTCTGTCTGGAACAAAATAAATCCACCGCGGTGCCGGCCGCCGGGGAAAGTGCAGGCCGTCCGGATGGTGCGCCAAACGACGCTGCTGCTCTCAAGCTGCTCTATTTTCGATCGCCGAAAGAACAGCTGACCCCGTGGGACCACTACAATCTGGAGCATCTGCAGCTCCAGCCGGGGACCTCCCTCTCGCAGCTGAATACCGAGGTCACCGGCTACGCACGGGTGGATCACCAGAAAGGGATTGCGAGTGGAGTGGTCCAGGATAACCTGCCGGTTTATCAAACAGAAAAGATGTTGAACTGCAATACAGCAGCACTATGTAACATACTAGCGGACGTTCGTTGTTTTTGTCATTCACCATACCGCTGTGCAGAACAGCAACAGCTACAGCACTACTTCCTGCCCGCTCGTCGCTCAAAAAAGAAATAGTTTGTTCGTTGTACAGCCATCGCGTGATCTATGCTGACTTGTTTCCAATTTTTTTCCCCCCCATACGGTCGTGGTGGTGCCACCCCCTGATTCTACCTCCGACGACGGTCGCAGTTTCTTCGACAGAATCACCTCCCCAGGATATCCTGAGTAAAAACGTACCCACACCATAGTCAAGATGGGAAACCGGCTAGACAAATCCACAAGTTTTGGCTGTTTTGCATGACAAATTTGGATTCGTAGTGTAGTGCTGTTTGAGCTAGCTCAGCAGCATCACAGATCTAGCATACCATGCTGATTGGAGCATGACAAATTGCAAAACACGACTAGAAAATGCTTCTCATGAGGCTCCGCATGAGAAACATTTTCAGCATGCAGATTTGCATTACAACTCTGGTGTGGGTACGTTTTTACTCAGGATACAGGAGCTGCCCTCTTCACCCCCGGCACGGCGATTCTTCTTCGCCCCTTCAAAAACCTACTATCAAATGCAAAAATGTCTAGGTCTGGGAGATTCTGAGACTTGTCATGCACGTTTTGCATGAGCCATGATGTCTGTGATGCATGCCGTAGCATCACAGACTTTTCGACGGATTCTTGACGCCTATTTCGCATGACAAATGCCCTATCCGCGTAGCAAAAATTACATTCCCTTTGCTACTCATGCAATACAAATGTTTTTGGAATCCAAATGCAGCATCACAAGTTGCATTCTTCAAGACCCAGACAGTTTTGCATTTCATACCTACTCGAGCGGCACTACGGTAACCTCTTCCTCGACGAAGCGCTATCGGTGTTCCGTATCTTGGACCAATGGGGCCTGCTGCCGAGGAGCCGTGACGCTGATATTAGCCGAGACAACCACGCGAAAATGACCGAGGAAGCGGAGCATGCTGAGGCCGGCGCGGGACAAACCACTGCGGTCTTCGACCATGATGGTGAGGTTTTTCCCACATCGACACGTTCACCTCAACTGCAGCTTGATCGTCGGAAAGAGGAAAATCCGACCGCGAAGAACGACGTTTCTGTCCTGCTGGACGTGTCTGCGACGACGGAAGAGGAACTCAGCGTGCGGAAGCAGCTGTTTTTGCGACGCGAGGACAAGTATCCATCTCGCAAATATGTCTGGGTCTGGAACGTGGTAACTTGTCATGCAAAGTCTGAAACGTGCAAAAATCTGTATTGCATGAGCGGCAAACCTATGCACTGTTCTAAACGCGGTCATATTTGCAATGCATAAGAAGGCTCAACGTCGATCTAGTACTACTTCTACTTTTCTTCGGGTCCCGCTCGCGGAGTCTGTACGACTTACAGGGACTACTACCAGCGGTGGTCTGGGATTGCATATCAAATGCAAAAGTGTCTGGGTCTGGAAGAATGCAAGATTTGTCATGCATATTTCTCATGACGCATTTTAGTCTGTGATGTATGCCCTAGCATTACAGATTTTTAGAACCCTGCCTGATGCACCTTCCGCATGAGAAGTGCCCTGTCCGTGTAGCACACATTATACCCCTCTTGCTGGTCATGCAATACAAATTTTTTTAGAGTCCAAGAACAGCATGACAAGTTGCAAACTTCTGGACCCAGACATTTTTGCAGTTGATATTGCACTCTTCTTCGCAACAAACAACCCCGCCCTCCGCCACCACGACCTACGAGTGCTTCGAGCGACTCGTGACCGGCTGGGAGGGCCTGGGGTTCTCGCGCGACGAGGAGGTCGACGAGTTATCGAAAGCAAACATGTCTGGGTCTGGAAAACTGCCAGGTTTGTGTTGCATATTCTCCATCAGCCACGAAGCCTGTAATGCATGGCCTAGTATCACAGATTTTTAGAAGGCTTTGTGATGCTAATTCCGCATGAGAGATAAGCACCCAATCCACGTGCAACAAACTGGCCTCGTCTTGCTGGTCATGCAACACAGATTTGTTTAGAATCCAGAGACAGCATCACAAGTTGGATCCTTCCAGACCCAGACATTTTTGCATTTGATACGAGTTTCTGCGCATCAAAAAGCGCGACGGCAGCGAGGAGTACTTGAACTCGCTGTTCAACTCGGACGACGGCAACGCCATGTGGTGGAGAGACGTGCTGGACTCGGCGCCGGACAAAGCGGCCCTCGCCGCCGCCTATGCAATGCAAAAGTGTCGTACTCGTAGCAAATGCATTTATGCATTACAAATCTCGTTCTATTTGAAAATCAGCATTACAAATTCAAATTGTAGCGCTGGGCTAATTTGTGATGCAATTTATACTAGTACGATACGGTTTTTGCAGTTCATATCGCCCCGCCGGCCGCGCCGTTTGAGTGGAAAAATCACGGGTTGCTAAACGAAAAGAAATATCAAATGCAAAAATGTCTGGGTCTGGGAGAATGCAACTTGTCATGCTGAAGCTGAATCATACAAAAATCTGTGTTGCATGATTACCAAAAGTCGTCCAGTTTTGACCAAGTCGGGAGGGGGTTTCTCATGCAGGATAGGCATGAGAGAGGTCGCGCAGAATCTTCCCTGCTAGGTCCTGCATTCCAGAACTCATGGGTCATGGAAAAGCTGCATGACAAATCGCTCACTCTTCCAGACCCAGACGTTTTTACATTTGATAAGAAAGCGACGTACTACTTCGGTGGCAAGGAGACGCGGGACAGGCTGGCGCTCGATCACAGTGCAGCCGAGAAAGTAGACCTGCCGCTGCCGCGTGGCAAAAACGCAGGACATTCAGAGGACGGGTACTTACAGTAGAGCTAGAAGACGCCTTCGTTCTGTTACAACTGCGGGATTGCATCGAGAATGTGAATGCAATTTTTTTATCGTATTGTAAGTATCAATCCCTTCGCTTCGCTCCTCGATTGCACGAAGGTTGGATTATTTCAAGGTGAAAACTTTTTCCACTACAAATACAATGCAGTCAGGATAAAAAGGATAGTGGGCTGCCACGACACCTGCCTAGCCCTAGCAGCGCAGCCACAACGAGGGTGGACGAAAATAAAATCGCCAGCTACACCAACCGGCTTTTTTTCGACGACAACATGGATGTCGTGCTGCACGAAGTCCCCCGGGAGGTGCCGAAAGAGGCCGGCGTCATTTTCCCAGCCGACGGCGGACCACAAACAACGGCGACAGTTTTAGCGCGTGGCGGAAAACCCGCCACTGCGGTAGAGGAAAACGAAAACCGCTACTACACGACGACACGAAAGAACGAAAACAGCGATCATCCACCAGCAGCTGAATTCGAAGATAAAATCGCTGCGACGTGGTCAACTACTGCACGTTCCTCCGCCGAAGAAGCTACAACTTTGCAGCCGATCATTCGACACCGCACTTCTCTTCGTGAAAATCTAGTGAACTACGCCCCGTTCCGGGTGGTGCAGCACGGTATGCATTGCAAAAATACCGTACTCGTATTGCAGTCATGCATTACAAATTTTTTTCTGGACGTAAATCCGCATTACAAATTTTATCTGTCATGCGGAGGAAATTTGCAATGCATTTATACGAGTGCGATACTTTTGCACAGGATACACGGGGGCAATAAGGTGCCAGACCTGCGGAAATTCCGCGACTTCGTCGTCGGACGGCGGGCGATATCAACTGTAAAAATGTCTGGGTCTGGAAGATTCTGACACTTGTCATGCACGTTTTGCATGAGCCATGATGTCTGTAATGCACACCCTAGCAATACAGATTTTTAGAGGGCTTCTTGATGCGTATTCCGCATGACAAATGCCTTCTCAGCGTAGCAAGAATTGCATTTCCTTTGGTACTCATGCAATACAGACTTTTTTGGAATCCAAATGCAGCATCACAAGTTGCATTCTTCCAGACCCAGACATTTTTACATTTGATAGGCGCGGCACGAAAAACCAGGAGACACTGCTACTGCTGCCGCAGTAGATGACGGCGCTTCTAGGACGATAGATCACGAACTTTCAACATCTCAACCGCGACGAACCCTACAAGTGCTGGTCTCTGTCGTCGGCGGCGAAAACCAGATCGGGTCGGTGACAAAATGGAGTGATAGTACCTACAACAGGTGGGGCGATGCAACGTCAAGTGGGGATCTAGTACCTCACCGTGCGAACGCGACGACTTCATCTGCCCAAGAGGACTTCCGAGGATTCCTCGCGGAGGCTCTCCAGCTGGCACTGGAGGAGGAGCCAGGTGGTCCATCTGAAAAAAACGACGGAAACTACTCGGCACGATCGCGCCGTCAAGAAAAATCGGAGTACAACGCGAGGTCTAGTACTTCCAGGACGGCTACGACAGCCCGGGAAGCCGCCAACAGTGCGACCTCATTCCGCATCAGAGTCGTGGACTCTTGCGACTTCCTCGCGGAGGACAGAGGCACAGGGAGCGCAGGAGCCTCCGGGGCACAAAACGACGAAAATATAGAACACAGGCCTACTGCCTCTATCGGACCGCTGTCGGAGGGTGCTACAACAGAGCGTATGATCGACTTCTCAGGCACAGAAGTACTATCGTCTTCGGAATCTTCACATGCGACGGCGCAAAAGTCGTGGGAAAGCCAGTTCTCGTCTGGGACGGCAGAACAGCGGTTCTCGGGTTCTGTGGATGTGCTCGTCAACCTAGACGCGGAATTCTCTTCCGAAGGAGCCTCCGCGCAGTGTGCGATACAACGGGAGTCGTCACCACTAGAGCCGGAAAGGAGTCGTGCCGCCGCTCTGACGGCCGCAGAGGTTCTGGCGCAACAGCTTCTGGTACCAAAGGTGCAGCGTATTTTCTTGTGGCTCGCCACGTCCCTCCCAGGCGAGGCCGGGGCTTTGTATGAATATTGAATAAAGCGGCGTTTTTTATACCACGTATGCGGTACTATTTTTCGGTCCCCGGCCCCACGACTCTTTGCTCGATTAGAAGTCTTCTTGCAAGCTCGCAACCCTGTGAGTGCTTCGTGCAATTCCTGAATTCAAGCACTACTACCGTAGCAGTGCTTCACGCCGCAAAAAGCTGCAAAGCGGCTTGCCGAGCTGGTTCTTCTACCAGCAAAAAACATTTTTGTATTTTTCTATATGGCCTAGATATTTTTTATCGGAGGAACGTTGAGCACCCGCCACTGTGTATTTATTTACATTTGATACAAGCTGCTCAAAGACGGGGCCCTGGCTATCCTGCCCTACGTCAGTCTGGAGCCGCCGGAACAGGTGCGAGGAAGTCGACTGTTCCAACGGAACTACAAAGGACCACCGCCCGCGACAGATGGGCACAGAGAGATGGATCACGCCAACTCCCTCCCACCACCAGGACCACCCGAAAATGCCGTGTTCTATGACTACAGCGTCAATCGGGAGTCGGAGCATAAAATGCTGCCGCCACCGCTATGGCCTGCTCAACCGTTACAGTCTCAAATCGGTTACCATAGAATCTGGAATTGGTCTTGCATAATGAGCATGACAGACTCGCAGACCACTCCACTTTCTGCAACACAAATTTCGGCAGATTGTAGTGCGGTTTGGGGCTCCGGGACTTGTCATGCGCAGTCCTATGCGACTTGGCTAGATTATGCACTTCTTGCATCACAGATTTCCAAATTCTATTGTAACGCTTGGGATTGCAACGTTTGAGCAGGTCATAACCGCAAGGAAAGTCGTTCGTGGTGGCGAACTGGCTCGCGCACAAAGGCCGCCTGCGTATTATGGATTGCAAAATTGTCGGGGTCTGGAAGAGTACGAGGTTTGTCATGCATATTTCTCATGACTCATGATTCCTGTAATGCATGACCTAGCATCACAGATTTTTAGAAGGCTTCCTGATGCCTATTCCGCATGACAAATGCGCTCCCCGCGTAGCACAAACGGGACGCCTCTTGCCGGTCATGCAATACAAATCTTTTTAGAATCCAAACACAGCATCACAAGTTGCGACCTTCCAGAGACCCAGACATATTTGCATTTTATACGTATCGTGCAGCTGCCACTGTATCTAGCGGCGTCGGGTGGAAATTATGGATTGTAAAAATGTCTGGGTCTGGAAGAATGCGAGATTTGTCATGCATATTTCGGATCACGCAAATGGCGTCTGATGCAGGCAAAAGCATCACAGGTTTTGATCACGCCTCATGATGCCTGTCCCGCATGAGAAACTTCCTACTTGCGTGCCAACAAATGGACAGCTTTTGGCGCTCATGCAACACAAATTTTTGTGTGTTCCAGAGTTTGCATCACAAGTTCCAACCCTTCCATACCCAGACATTTTTACATTTGATAGAAATGCGCCGACGAGGACAGCGAGTGGACCGCGGGACAACGACAAACGCAAAGCGAGGCAAAGTCCTCCTTCCCGCGAAAAGAACGAGGAAATAATGCGTGGCGTAACAACTACTGGAACCTCGTCTACGCAGACGAAGCCACGAGCGGTACAACTACCCGATCATCACGCAGCACCGTCAGAACAACTCCTCCCGTGGTCAGAGGAGTCTGGAGAGGGGGCCAGTAACGAACTGCGCCTCGCCTACACGACCGAGTTCTCCGCGCACGAGCAGCTGCTGAATGCACGCGGGTTGCTGCAAAAAATGCAAGTCGAGGACCAATCGGCGGTCGCGCAGGAACTACACCACGACGAGCAGGGAGTCATACTAGAGCCTGCTAGTACATCAAAAGCAGATGTGGACCGCCACGAAGATGCCACACCGCGGGCAGCCGAAAGGAAACGTGCCCTAGAAGTAGAGCATCAAGAAATACCGCTGGTGCATTGCCCACGAGATCTTCATGCTGGCAAGAAAAACGTCGGAGCGGAATGCGCTGCGTCGATCTGGGCGCGGCAATATCAACTGCAAAAATGTCTGGGTCTGGAAGAGCGTAAACTTGTCATGTAGGTTTTCCATGACCCATGGCCATGAGGTCTGGAATGCGGGACCTAGCATGACAGACTCTGTGAGGTCTCAGTCATGCCTATCCTGAATGAGAAACTGCCACCCGACTTGGTCGAAAGTGGACAGTTTTTGGCGCTCATGCAACACAGATTTTTGCATGACTCGGATTCAGCATGACAAGTTGCGACCGTCCAGGCCCAGACACTTTTGCAATCCATAGGCAAGGCTGCGTCACGAGACCGCAAGACTACACCAGGTATTACGCATCATTATATGTAGATGTTTTTATTTTCCTGGCCTTACTTTGTTGCAATTCAGTGCCGAACTTTACCCCCAACGGTATGATAAGCGCGCAGGTGTGATAAGGATGGAATTGAGTAGCGGGCCGATTCTGAAGACAGTGAGGACTTTTAGCTAGAATTTACCGGCGCAAGAGTACCATGCGTGATAAGCTTATGCTGCACGGCATGGCTTCACATGTAGTTTTTCTGGTACCGCTGATGACAGGATCAGGTTCAGTCTAGGAAAACACAAGCGAACAGCTGATGTTTGTGTATTCATGGCCCCGCGCCGCTCGCGGGCTGGACGGTTGAGCTGATGCACGCGCGGTGGCAACAACAGCTAGGTCTCTGTGATGGCTTAAGGCTGCTTGTGTACAGTATACAAAAGATGAGCTGCGTTTTTGTATCTATACTACACAAAAGCTCAGTTTTGAAGTAGGACGTGGAGGGGCCTTGCTTGGGCGGCTCACCACCGCCTGTGCTGGTTCCCATTTGTGCAGCTTTGTTTTATTGCGGAATTTCCACTTCTTCCTTTTCCTTGTTGCACGCATCTGTAGTCCTCTGTTGCATGTCCGAAAGCGAACGCGCAAGAACAGTGCGGCTCCTTCATGCTTGCAGGCAGAGCCAGGCTTCCGGTGCAGGTGCAGCTTCCACAGCATGAAGGCTGGAAAGAAGTCTGCCGGGTGGAATTTCAGTTCGCTTGGCGCGCTTTGTATCACAGTAATACGGCCCGGTCTCGTGAGCTCTTAGGACTGCTGTGTTTGAAGACAGTATGGTAAGCATTCACGACTTTTGCTTAAGTATCTAGATTCGTTTCCGTGTAGTTCGACAGGATTCTCGTATGCATAATTCACGACTTCTGCTTTTCGGGCTTCCGTGTTTGAGAGGATTGCTCCGGGCTTTCATGACATTTACTTGTCTAGTACCTTTTCGGTTGTGACGTACCAACGCAAACTGGTGAAATTCGGTTCTACCATGTTTGTGTTTTTTCTAAAGTACTTGCTTGCTTTCAGTTGCAACTGAAATCCGTCGTTACCTAGGGGCGGTTTCGCCCGCTTCACAACGGGAACGCAGTTGAGGGTGCTTCGGCGGCCGAAGGTTTTTTGACATCGACATAAATGACTGTCGGTAGGTTTTTGTTGCTTGCACAGGCTTAGGTCTTCATTGGCTACCTCGAGCGCGCGCAGTTTTTCAAGTAGAAAAAGTAGGTTAGAAGCAGCCGGGGTGCAAGTAGAGGACAACAGCTAGAATTCGAGCGGGCTGAGTGCTTGCGCACTTCTAGGGTGTAACACCGGTAATATCAACCGTGCCCATGCTAGCGGGGCATAGACGAACGTGACGGGGAGCTGCGCAGTCGGATTTTGCAACCCCCCCTCTAGCTGCACGATGGGGTCCTCAAACGTGGGGCGGCGTGAATTTTTTTTTTCCATGTAAAAAACAAGTCTGAAGTCCTGGCAAATTTGCAAAAATGACCGGAAAATAGGTTTCCGGCTTGGCTGCCCGTGGCTGCCTAAAGACCTAAACCCATTACACTACAGGCTGGCCTCGAACAGAAAGATAGTGGACTGGTTTCGCGAACAAACATATCAAGTTGAAAAATCCCCCCTCCCCCTATCAAAACGAAGGCTCTGATGCTGGATTTGCGTGCACAAATCAAATTTCTATAGCTGGAGAGCACTACAGGGCAAATATCAAGCCAGAGCAGAGAGGTTTTGGGTTAGGCACTTAGCATGAGAAACGTCTGTGCTCTAGCTCTAGGCCCAACAGCATCACAAACCGCCTGCATGGTGCGCCGGTGCCTGTGGGGTTGCCTGCTTGCAACATAGGCGGAATTTGTGGTCGCGAATCAGCAACACAAACTTTCGGAGACGTACCTTGTCAATATGGGGAGGGGGGATTTTTCCTCGCAAAAAAACCGCAGACCAACTAATGGACTATGAGTCGAAATGTGTCTAAGTCTGGACTTGCCATTCGAAAGTTCAAGGACAAGAAGATAAGTAGAATCTGTGATGCGTGTATACAACGCGTGGCGGCCATTTTTATTTTTGTCGTCTTCGACGAGCACGAGGCCCGTTTCAGTTTGTCATGCGCTTACTTTACGAAAGATGCCGCAATAAGCCTCGCAAAACTTCTTCTTATGTATGCTCCTGTGCCGTCGTCCCGTACAAGCGGGGTAAGTACTCCACCGCGACGCAAGTATCAGCAATACAAATTTCTCGAGCCAGACATATTTGTATTTGATATCGATATGGTTTTCCGCAATTTGTGCCCGCACTTCTTTCCGGCTTTGGTTCGTTTCTTTAAAAGGTACGAAAACTCGCCTTTCTGTGTATATTAAATCTGCTATCGTGCAGTAGTAGCTCTCGCCCCCACAGAGTAAGATTACTGATGGTGCATGTGCACTGTCGCGCCGTACGATCAATGTGCGAGAGTGGCAATTAGAGCTAGATTATGAATAGATATGAGCTCCTCGAGCAACAGTTCTTATCAAAAACCGGAACCAATCGTGCCAAAGCGGCTGGAAAATGCTGGTGCGGTTTCTCATAGTATAATCTAAGACGCGGCGTTACGATCCGCAGTACAGACATACCTTCAAAGCTGAGCAGCAGAGCAAGGCCTGGCCTCGTAGCAAGCCTTAGGCGGAGTGCTGGCTTCATGTAGATATCGCGCTGAGGCTGATAAGCTGCAGTTTTGGCTGCATGTTTTTAATTGGCACATTCACAGGCGCAGCCATAGCCTGATACTCGAAAGCCATGTTTTAGAAGGCAGGCAGCCCTATTAGCTGCGTTTGTACTAATAACATGATATCAGTTGTTTAATACTCACTTGCTGCTCGGCTCTGATTGTGTGTTGATTCATTCCAATATGCTGTATGGGGAACGCGAAAACAAGCGAAGTTCCGCATCGGATGCTATGCGGACGAGGATTAGTATCAAACCAAAATTCACGCAAGACGTAATCAGTCTTTTTCAAAAAGCGTGTAGCTTCCACGCTGCGAGCCAGAGTAAAACATATAATCAAAAGCGTAGAGTACAGAACTTTAGCTCCGATGGTACGATGTGCGGCACCAGAAGCAATTTGTCATGCACAAATCAGAATGATTTACGTCTCTGCGGCGTTTCGTTCACATCTATACTCCCCGCAGCTTCAATACATTTGATCACCTGGACGTATGAAGTGTAATACAGAAGTCGCCTTTGTAGTTTTCGATGTCAGTTGCAATCTCACCGCCCGTATACAAATTATTTCAATTGGTAAGCCCGAGCACCCGCTCATGGTCAGGCCCAGTGCTGTCTACAAGCTACAGTATTGCACTCCTTGGTCGTAATTGCATGTAGTATCGCCTCCCTAGCCCAGTCCTGTCGTACCGCGCTAGTAGTATCGAAAATATTAAAGGCTGATATTTTTAGGTACTGCTTTATGCAAATCTGTACAGTGAAAGAACAACAAAAAATCTTCGCTATACTGCTACAACTCCATTTCACTATACTCTACACATCTTCTTTTCCATAGTATCGAATACTGCGTGTGATCCTGCGTTTTCCATAATTGATCCTGCGTGTGATCCTGCGTTTGTTTGAGAACGGATACTACCCCTTTCCAAATCAAAACATTTTAGGACCCGGGGGGACAGGAAGAGCCCCCCGGTAGCGCTAGTCTCACATGGGTGCACACATAAGGACGTTGACGAAGAAACACACACACACACGGCGGTCAAAAAACACAAACAATATGCGTCCAGCACAAACTGCCCTGACTCGCTCACCGGATGGATGCGCCGCCGAGGTCCGTCGCTGCAGTAGCTTAAATAATAATAGCTATAATAGAAAGAAAAATATAGAAATAGTAGCGGCAAAGCTATCTGTAGCGCTTTCCTGGTAGAACAGCCGCGCCACGCCGCTGAGCGGGAGACGGCCTGTCCAGTGAGTGAGTGCCCCGTCAACTGCTCGCCGGGGCGCTGCGTGGAAGAGCAGCGTCGCCGCATGTCGAGCCGGGGAACTAGTTTGCTTTCGATTGCCTTTTTATTTTTTTTTTTTTAAGTTCCCCGTCATCTCAATTCCCCCTTAACTTGCCGCCTTACTCTTCACGGACATGGGGGATGACATCAGCGCGTAGAACGGTTTGAATCAGACTCGGGCTACAAGGCCACAGGTAAACTATCCCAGTGTCTTCCGGCCGGCCTTGACGCAATCTGACTACTAAAAACCTCGCGGTAGCTGGGGGGCGTTCTAGTCTTCGGTCTAGTTCGTCGCCCTCTACCAGGCCTGTACTACCTGAAAGCAGAACTTCGGCTAGGGCAACAAGATCACATCAAGCAGCATCCGCGAGCAGCATCCGACCCGAGAGTAGTCAGCCGGGCCATTTCTGAAGGCGCTGCGAGGTGGGCGGAGAGGCATCACGCTAGCAGTTGGACGGGAGCAAGGCCAGCGTTCTTCTGTGTGATGTTCGTCGTATACTGTCCTGCCTAGTTCAACTATGTAGGTTATCTCTCTCTCTCTCTTGGTCGTAATTGCATGATGCTGAAATTGTTTGACATAATAGTGGCCCCGCGCAGGAACGTCCTGTGCCTGCAGGTGCAGGAGCACACTGAAAATTTGTATTTCTTCCAGGCCACACGACCAGACCACGAAGCTTTTTCGTATATATGGATTCTCCAACATCGGTCGTTTTGGTGGAGTTGCTCTGACAGTGAAGTTTTTGGTCGTTCTAAAAATTACATTTTCATATTCCCTGTCCGATGAGATATCGACCTTCAGCGAGCCAGCCAGTCAAGCACCGGACGCGGCGCCGTATCGAAGAAGAATTGTAGTTCCCCCCTGCTCCCAGAAAGAGCAGAAGGCCGCTTTTGTATTGCGAGCACCATTCTCATGGGCATCCCCCCTGTAGTTCCCCCCTGTATCCCAGAAAGGGCGGCCGTTTTTGTATTGCGAACACCATTCTCATGGGCATCCCCCCTGTAGTTCCCCCCTGTACCCCAGAAAGGGAAGGCCGTTTTTGTATTGCGTGCACCATTTTCATGGGCATCCCCCCTGTATTGCGAACAAGAACTGCAGGCCCCCTCTGCTCCCAGAAAAAGAAGTCCATTTTTGTATTGCGAGCACCATTCTCATGGGAACAAACATGAGCATCCCCCTCTTGCCCAAGAAGTAGGCAAGCAACATAAATGCTTCAGGTGGAAAAGATTCGCCGCGAAGTATATCTCTGCTGGAAAAAAAGGCCGAGCACGAGAGCCCACTGCAATGCTTGCCATGTAAAGAAGGCGAAGGTGCAGCAACCTACGCCGAAGCTCTGGACACGTCGCCCTTTCGTGTAAGAAGACAAGAGCTTTTACATTTAGAAAGTAGGCATGAGAATTAGAGACTTTCCCCAGTTATGATAGATACCGGGGGTGGGGCGCCGCTTATCATCCTGATACCACGAAAAGGAGCTTCCTGCACAACCAGCTGCGGTTCCGGCCGCCGAATAAGATTATGAGTTGCAAAAGTATCGGCTACTAGTATAGATTGCAATACAAAAAATTGGGTCACGCAGCGTTGTAGATTAAATTTGTAATGCGGATTTCCCTGAACAACTAGATTTGTAATGCATAAGGCCTGAACAACTAGACTTCTCATGCTCGGGAAATTTGTAATGCGTTTGTACGAGTACGATACTTCTGCAATGCATAGGAAGTCCAGCAAGTCCATGAAACTGTCAAAGTAGGCACCATTTTCATTTTCGCTATATTCTTCAGAATCGGCAAAATCAGAGTCAGAACTGCCGCTGCTGAAGTCCTCTAAGTAATCGTGTATTTCCCCATCTCGTACCTCTACCTGTTCTGGCGCCCCCTTCGCGTCGTGGTTCCCGTCAGTGTCAACACCAGCTTTGGGCTCTCCAGCGTCGTCACCAGCACGACCTTTCTCTTCCTCATTCGCCGCAGGAGCTACAGTGGCTTCCTTCATAATATCCTTCGCAGCCTTCTTCTCCGCATCCTTTTTCGCCTTTCTCTCAGCGGTTCTAGCCTTTTTAGCCGCATTTTTTTTCTCTTCCATTTCCCGCTCCAGGAGGTCCTCTGCCGCTGCTTCTTGCAATTTCTTGTCTTTGAAATCCAAAAACTCTTCGAAATGAAGCTTCAACTGTTTCATTTTCGGAATCTTCTCGGCTTCGAACTCTTCCCTCTGTTCCATCAATTGCTTCAAACCGTCGAGCGATAGAGGTTTGATCCTTTGGAACTGCTTATCGGTAACCTTGTTCTTCAGCATGACATGAAGCGCTAGTTTCTGCGGAGGCGGCTTGCGTAGCAAAGCGAAAAGTCGCTTCTTCTCCTGCTCGACTTGTTTTCTCTTCTCTTCTTTCTCGCTTCGTAACGCGATCTGACTGGCGGTTTTTTCTTTGTCTGAGGAATCTTCACCTTCGGACGAGCGACCATTTTCATCATCATCTCCATCGCGGTTGTCCCTCTTGCGGGCGACTTTGGAGCCGATTTCTAGTAGTTCTTGTTCCACGCTCTGTGGTTTATTTTGTCCTTCATCTCCGTGGTCTTCATCTTCTTTTTCGTCTTCGCTGCTTCCTGGCTGGACTCGCTCTTGCTCGATTTTTGAAGTCGTGGCCCTCTGGCAGCTCCCGGAGGTGGTCGTCGTGGTCACCCCGACCTGGTCCTCTATTTGCCACCAATTCTTCTCGTAATTCCATTTCCACTCCACGCCGTCTGGTAAAAGCGCATTGTCTTCTCCGACATTTTTCCCAGTACCTGCGTGTTCCTGAAACTCCGAGGACCGCCACGCCGCATGGTTTTCGGAAACGACGAGTTCCTCCGTTGGCCTTGGCTGTTTGTGTAGTTTTTCCACTCTCGCGGAGCGGTTCTTGTCAGCGGATCGTCGTCATCCGAGTCGCAATCAGAGACGAAAAAGTCGTGACCGCGTGAAGGGTGGCGGTTGTTGACAACGGGCGGATCAACATTCAGGTTGTTCGCCTGCTCGTCCATCTTCGACGCTAGATTGTGCTGCTCCACAGAGTCGCCAGCCATGGTGGCGCCAAGACTTAAATTCAATTTGAATTTGATATCAATGGATCAGGAACTCGTTTTTGAAATTCAAATCTGTGATGGGATGAATCGCGATGTCCAATGAGAATGACCACGCTGTGCTTTTTACAACATCTTTACCTAATCCTAGCACATAGACATCATACGATAGCTGCGGAAGCTGCCCTCATATAATCTTTTCTTCTTTTGTAGTTGTTTGTCCATTACTACTACATCTTCATCCGCTAGGCTAAAAAGAAGGAGAAAATGTAATGCGGATTTCCCTGAACAACTAGATTTGTAATGCATAACTGCAAATTTAGTACGAGTTGTCGATCCTTTTGCACTGCATAAAGATCCGCTGGTTTCCCGGACTAGTCGGGTTCAGATCTACAACTGGGTCGCCTGCGTCTCCCGTGCAGCAGCACATGCGAGGCTGTAGTACTACGTCTCGTCCTGCGGGCAGAACCGCCGAGGGAGATGAGCCTGCTCGTCGTGAGGCAAGCTCACGAAGAGCTATGAGTGTGCCTTCTGGTGGTCTTCCCGGAGATAGTGGTACAACGAGAACGAGGAGTCGGAGGAGCTCCCCCAGAGGCAAAAAACCATCTTCGGGCTGCGGCACCGTGCTGACGCTGCTGTCGACGGCGCGGAGACTGAAATCGGCGGCGGAAGTGGAAGAGGAAAGTTCTGAGAAGGCACACAGAACTTCTACACATGCAACTGCTGTGGCCACCAAAGCAGGAAAGAGCCACGCAGAAGTGCTGCCACCCAAGATGAACGGGCACCAAAGCAGTGACCGGTATGAGTACGGTCTGCTGATTCGGCGGTTATGCAATGCAAAAGCATCGCACTAGTATAAATTGCAGTACAAATTAGCCCAGCCTACAAATTGAATTTGTAATGCTGGTTTACCTTGAGACAGAGATCGCCGCAAGGTCGCAGCGCGGGGACTCTGTCCCCGCGCCATGACCTTGTTTGTGATGCATAAACGCGATTGCTACGAGTGCGATACTTTTGCACAGGATAGCGGTGGAGGCTGGACGAGGGTGACGAGAAGAGCAAATCCTTCCCCTCCGGGTATGCCCTGGAAGAGTATCTGCAGGAGGAGCCGCGCCGAAGATCATCGGAAACATCCGAGCGGAGCGTAAGTGGACAATGTGACACGACGCAGGAGGCAGCAGATGACGTCACGGGCCTCCTGCCCGAGAAGCATGGTCACAGTAGAAGCCACGACGATGATCATATCGTCGCAGGCAGCGGTAAAATAACGCAACGAAACACGGAAGAAGGCGAAGATCACGCCTCCCTAGCGGAGATCACGATAGCCAGAAATGATCCGCCGTACAGGGCCACGAGCGCGAAGATGACAGGAGGTCGGGGAAAGCCAAAACCAAAACGCCACGAAGTACCAGAGATCGATGCTGGTCGTGCAAGACCAATCGACAGGGAAGAGGACGCTGCCACACTGCTCGACGCGGAGGAGGAACAGCGCTTCCTCGAGGGAGAGGAGGACGAGCATGGTTCGGAGACCGAGCGTGATCATGCGCAAAACCAGAAGTATATGTCACAAATGGAAATATATCAGGCGCGCCTTTATAAAGAAAATCGAAATGGCCCGTCAAATTCACCCACAAATGGCAATGCAAATAGCGCACAGATGAGCTACAGCAGAACACCACAAGCCAGAGATAACCGAGCAGACGGAGGTGCAGAAAAAAGTGGGCGCTCGGAGTCAGGTGGCCATGGCCAGGCTGCGGCTGGAACGACGAACAGATGCGAATCTACTTCGCAGAACGACGAGGAGGAGGAGGAGACCATGCTACAACGCAGTAGCCAGTCGGTGGCCTTCATCCCGTTCGGAGCGCGACTACAAGAACGAGGACAGCATCAACGACAGACACAGATAACCGAAGATGCTGCGGTCGTCGATACAAAAACCGAAGCTGCAGCTGCTGCTTCTGAAAAAACCGCATCTGTCGAGGAAGTCGCGATCCCCATGGCGCGGGTCGGGTTTGCGGCGGACGTGGCGACGAAAATCGCAAGGCTAATCGCCAAACACGCAGGTGAGCGGGAAAAGGACGGGGTGCTCAACTGGATCGGGAATGAAAGCCGCGACCAGGCAAATCCCCCGACAACTGGAGATCATGGTCGGAGAGGTGCGGAAAAATATAGTCGTGGTGCGAAGGACGACAAGAGTTCGAAGAACGCGGAACACGAAGATCCGGAGGCGGGTGAGGCTGCGACCGGAGGTGCAGCTTTGCCTCGTGGTAGGAAGAACGACCCGATCGGGCAGGAGGACAACGCCTTTGGTACACCGGAGCAAGAAAATGACCGCCGGGAGCACCACCACGGCGACGTAGTAGACCCCGAAAAATCATACTCTTCGTCCTTCCACTGCCTCAAAGGCCCGAACTGCCTGTTCCGTAATGTCTGCCTGAAGGGATTCACCTACGACTCTAGCATATACATTGCAAAAGTACTATGACTACCGTGCAACTTCGTGCGTGAATTGCAATACAAATTTCATTTCCAAATAAAAAGAAGAAACGCAAATTGTGATGCTGAGTCGCATCGGGCTACCAATCTGTCATGCATGATTGCAATTACTACGTAGGCGGTACTAGGAGTACTTTTGCACTGGATACACCAACCCACTCGACGATTTCCGATCCAGAATACGGGAGGTGCATTTCGAGTACTTTTTGCCCGAAGATGACACGACTTCCGCTGAAGTGGACGATGTATCCTGTGCAAAAGTATCGCACTCGTATAAATGCAATACAAATTTCCTCAGCATGAGAAATAAAATTTGTAATGCAGATTTTCGTTGGAAACAAGATTTGTAATGCAAGACTTGCATTTGTACGAGTACGATACTTTTGCAAAGGATACGATGACCACTCCCACGACGATTGGGAGACCCACAGCGATGCGGATACACGGTACATTTTTCAAAATCTGTATCTGATGCCAAATTATCCAAACATCATTCCCAATCTCCGCCACCTGGTGGCGAAAGCGCGGTTTCACCGGGCGCGTGGTGCTCCCGGGAAGCGGCGGCTCCAAGAACGGGGCAAGAGGGCGCTAGGTTCAGGACGACATCCAGATGAAGTTGTGCATCCTCGCGGTGCTCTCGCCGATTCCTCGAAAAGCACTCCCAAAACCGCCGTCTTCGTGCAGCGTGCCGGCGGGTTCACACACAACGTCGGCCACGTGATTCTTGACGAGATTCTGACGGTGTTTCAGGCCATGCTGAAGCACGATAGAATCGGAAGCGACGATCGGGAGATCCAGATATCAAATGCAAAAATGTCTGGATGTCTAGCAACTTGTGTTGCTGATACTTGAATTGCAAACTTGCTGCTTGTACTGCATAACAGCATGAGAAATTTCGCGGGGCTTATTCCAAATTCATTCGTATTTAGCATGACAAAGTACCATATTCCGCACGACAAAAAAACTGGCCAATGGTATTCATGCATTACAGATCTTTTTGTCCTTGAAGTCCTGCATCACAAATCCAGGTCCAGACATATTTGCAGTGCATACCAGATTCTACTGCACGAAAAGCAGTCCATGAACATCAATGCGTTCGCGCAGCTGCTCGCGACCACGCCCGGTATTGTGAGGAAAAATGTCCCCACCCCAGAGTTGTCATGCAAGCCTGCATGCGAAAAACGTTTCTCATGCGGAGCCCCATGAGAAGCATTTTCTATTCGTCATTGGGAATTTGTGATGCTAGAATCATCATAGTATTGTGGATCTGTGATGCTTCTCCTGAATCAGCTAAACAGGATTACACTACGGAGACAAACTTGTCATGCGAAATAACCAAATCTGGTGGATTTGTCTACGCTGATTTCGCATCTTGACTCTGGTGTGGGGACGTTTTTACTCAGGATACCCGGGAAGACTACTTCATCTACACCCGCAGGTGGTTTTACCGGCGCTTCTACCGCTGCTGGTGGAACTTCCAACGTTTTCGACTGGACGGACATCGATTTGACCACCGAAGTGGATTTTTCTGCACCCGCTTTGAAATCGTCGGAAATAAAAGTTCACCGTTGCTTTCCGGAGCTCATCCTCGGTTGGGCCCGGTTCCAGGGCTACTGGCACTTAGGGTTTGCCGAGCTGCAGCAGTACTTTCTGCTTCCAAGACACAGCATCATATGACAGTGCACAACTTCCCATCGTCCCCCTCATTTGTATAGCATGAACGCCAATACAAGCATTAGCAAGAGTGCCGGCTTTGCATGACAACGTTTGCACTGGAGTGTAGTCCTATTTTGGCGGCTACCAGCAGAACTTGTCATGCATAAGAGTGCCAAGAGGAAAAGAGTGGATTGAGTATTTTGCATGAGAAATGAGGGGGAACGGGAGTTCTTGTGCACTGTCACACATCACCGCGGGCATCCAGAAGTACCAGGACCTGCTGAAATTCAAGGAGTACGTATCGTGAGGAAAAAACTGTGTAAGTGTAAATCTGTGATGCAGAACATGCAACAGAGTTACGCCTGTCATGCCAGACAGCCACGCAGTCCTCTTTTCATGTGTGTTTTCCCTAATCAACCACGCATGACAGGTTTTCTCTGTCATGTGGAGCAAATTTGTGATGCTGTCAGCCAAAGAAAGTTACACTAACACAGTTTTTTTCTTGGATATTACGTGTGGCGGAGGTTTGGGATTGCGAAGAGGGAGAACATATCCTGAGTAAAAACGTCTCCTCTCGATTCCTTTCTGAAAATTCGAAATTTCTCTGTGCTTTAAATTTGGTCTTTTCCAGTACATAAACACCCCAGAGTTGTCATGCAAATCTACATGCTGAAAATGTTTCTCATGCGGAGCTCCATGAGAAGCATTTTCTAGTCGTGTTTTTCAATTTGTCATGCTCCAATCAGCATGGTAAGCTAGATCTGTGATGCTGCTGAGCTAGCTCAAACAGCACTACACTACGAATCCAAATTTGTCATGCAAAACAGCCAAAACTTGCGGATTTGTCTAGCCGGTTCCCCATCCTGCCTCTGGTGTGAGTACGTTTTTACTCAGGATAGAACAAAGAACGGGATTATGCCGGCGCGGGCGGGGTACTGGTTCCTGGTGCAGCATCTTCGACAAGAGCTAGTGCGCCCCCTACTTCCGTGCTGTACAACATTACCATCGTGCTGAAAAACCGGCATTCCGCCGAAAACTGCTGCGTCATGACCAACGCAGACCAACTGAAACGGTATTTGCTGCGAAGGTTCTTCAGGAGTAAGAGTTCAGGAGCCACCAGCACCGCTGCAGGACCAACTACATTCCGCGAGGACACGGAAAGAATGAAAGATGTTGCACCTGTTCCTACGTCGCATGGCTTTCAAGTTGAAGAATTGTCTGGGCTGCAACTACAGCGCGCAAGCATCGACCAAGTGCTGCTGCTCAACTGGTCGGATTTGAAGGGCAGCTGGCAGAAGCAAGTGGAGGTTATGGCGTACACGGATATTCTGCTATCCTTCCCCGGCGCGGACGTCTGCAGCTCGGTGTTTATGCCCACAGTGAGTGGCTTTATTCTCCCCGATCGACTGCTGGGCTGGGCGCCAGAGGAAAAAGACACGCTCGAGCTGGTGCGGCAAGACGTCAAGCAGGAGAAGCGGAAGCGAGGTCTGAGCGAACAGAGCCACGAGGTGCTGCAAGTGGACGCCTTTGGAAAAATCGTCGTGAGCAGTAGCGGCGGCGGCGAGAATTCGCAAGGTCGTCGTAGTGCTCTGCATCAGAAGCTCAATCTCGAACAGCAGGTGAAGCTGTTTTACCAGCGCCGGTTTCACCGCTTTTTGAAGGTGACCGCGACCTCCAGTGCAGTTGAAGAGGAACAATTTGGGGAGGATAGTGGGCAGTTTCCTGCGGGTAGTCCAGGCGAGAGCGCAGGATCCCCCACTTCCAGCGTCGTCGACTACATGCGGCAGCATTTGCAGTATCAAATGCAAATATGTCTGGGTCTGGAAGATTGCAACTTGTCATGCTAAGTCTGAATCAGGCAAAAGACTGTGTTGCATGATTGCCAAAAGCTGTGCACTTTTGACCTAATCGAGAGGCAGTTTCTCATGCAGGATAAGCATTGGAAAGGTAAAGGTTATTTCGCAGAATCTGTCATGCTATGTCCTGCATACCACACTTCATGGGTTATGGAAAATCTGCATCACAAATCTAACAATCTTCCAGACCCAGACACTTTTGCAATCCATATGCAGCAGCACGAGGTGAATTCCCACGGAATCTCGGCCAAGGGTTGGGAGGGCCTTGGCTTCATCGACATGGTCTTCACGCACCGGCTACCAAATGTAAAAATGTCTGGGTCTGGAAGAATGCAACTTGTCATGCTAAATCTGAAGCATCCATAAATGTGTGTTGCATGATAGTACCAAAAGTCGTCCAGTTTTGACCAAGTCGGGAGGGTGTTTCTCATGCAGGATGGGCATGAGAGATATAATCGCCCGGAATCTGTCATGCTAGGTCCTGCATTCCAGACCTCATGGGTCATGGAAAAGCTGCATGACAAATCGCGAATTCTTCCAGACCCAGACATTTTTACATTTGATACCGGCCCTACCTCAACATCAAGCTGATGCCCCAGTACGTGGCGGGCGTCACGTATGAAAGTGCACAACATCCTGTCCCCCTCATTTGTCATGCAAATTGCCAAATCCAAGCTGTGCATTTTGGCAGTGTCTGCATGACAAGTCCTGGTACTTAGCCCAAACAGCACTGCAATCCAGTGTGAATTTGTCATGCAAAACCGGCACTCTTGCTGATGCTTGTCTTGCCGTTCATGCTATACAAATGAGGGGGAGGGGGAGTTGTGCACTGTCATATCACGAACACCAGCGTGGCGCGGCCGACGTTCGTTTTGTCGCCGCGAAAATCGGTCTTCGAGCAGGTGCCCTCGCCGCGGGACCGGCACAGTACTGCGGAGTTCGACAACGTCATGTACCGGAAAGCCAACCCGTCCGCGGTGATTCCCCCGGAGTTTCCGCACGAGGAATTTTTCCGCTACGAATCGGTCATCAACGGCAGCATCTTCTGGCCGAAGAACACGGTGATCCGAAATGTCCATCAGGGCGGCTTCCAGAAAATCGGCGACCTCGTGGAGAGTCTGCTGGACTACTTTCAGCGGATCAAGGGCTGAGATTGGATGAAACACGTGTCGGGAAACAGCAACAGATGGCGCAGCGCTATGGCACTGAAAATTTGCGACCGCGAGGACCTGTAATGAGTATAATGAATTAAGCATCTAAAAAAAATGCTACTGAGTAAAAACAAAGCACAATCTAAAAAGACTCAGAGTCGCGAACAGATTACAACAATCATCAAAGCATCGAAAAGTTACAATCATCAAAGCATCGAAAAGATTACAATTATTACGGCGTTTGTTGCCAAAGACGCGCAAGAGCAATACAAGATATCTGTATCTGATTTTATGACACTCTTCTTTTCTCGACTAAGTTCTGATGGCAGGAGTGTGCCGACGTCCGATGGTACCCCGGTAGTGTGCCGACGTCCGATTTGATCGGGCGTAAGAGTTCTTGCTGTAGTTCATGATCGAAAAGTAGATCACAAGTAATCGGCGGCTCAATCGGCAGTTCTTCGGCACACGAACTATTGAACGAGATTTCTCTATCGTCGGACTCGTATTAAGCGTGCTCGTGTCTATAAGTTCGAACTCTTCGATGCTGTCGTGTTGGGGCTATCTCGTCGCTCGTGGACTTACTCGACAAAGTAAAGTCGTGTCGCTTGAGTAGATTTCGACCTTCGTTCGCAGAACCACAAACAACTTCAACCTCCTCGAGAGGGAGGTGAAAGTATCACTCTGGGTCGCTCGTAGAATTTCAGTTTCACGGATCGGAACCGTCAGTCGCGTGAAATTGCAAGGAAGGCTTGCGAGTGACGACTCATACACCTGAATTAGCGAGAACGCCATGATCTTCATGAAGTAGAAACGCAACGACGTTTCAACAATTACAAAAACCTAGAAAACCACGTCAACCGAGAGAGCGATCATTTTTTTTTACAGTTTGATATTTCCAGCGGGAAAATAACTGCTTACGGAACACGAAGATGGCAACACCAGGTTCTGCGGATCATGCGCAGTCCTCGAGGCCGTTGGAGGTTTCTCCTGCGTCCGAACGGCAGATGTTGATCGAAGCTCGCAAAAAATTGCAAAAGCAGGTCACAGACATGGAGCAGCACGCGGAAAATCAGCGGGGCCGCTTCAACGCGTACCAGCAACTGCACGCGAAACGCCTCGACTGGCTGATATCAACTGTAAAAGTGTCTGGGTCTGGAAACTTGTGATGCTGGGTGGCGCATGATTGAAGCGCTTCCAATGGCAGCCAAGCATGACAAGTTTTTGAGAGGCCTTCTGATGCCTAGCATGCATGACAAATTGCGTTTTTGCATGACAAAGAAAGCTTCTCTTTTGCTGCTTATGCAAGACAGATTTTCCAGGAATGCATGACACGCATTACAAGTTCCACTTTTCCAGACCCAGACATTTTTACATTTGATAGCTGACGGCGTTTTTCAAGACCGACATGGTGCTGCTCGACATATGGCACAACTGGAACGCGCAGTTCGACAAGATTGTTGGATTAGTGGTAGCCCTCGACAAGTCGTCGGAAGAACAACCGCAAGAACAGGCGGAAGAAGTAGTAGTACCAGACGAAGATAGGGCGTATTTGAATCAGATGACTGCAGGATCTTCTTCATCTGCAACAATGCGAACAAACCCACACGCGGCCAGTTTGATGTTCCGGCGTGAAGGTGGATATAATAAGAAGAACGTCTGCGATTTATTGCGGGGTAAAATACTGACCACTCCCCGGAAGATTTTCGCGGAGTTGCGGATGGGAATGGAAGAGTCGTTGCACCAATCCACGACACAGCAAGAACTTGGCGCATCTTCAACTGCGGTCACGACCAAGACAGTAGACCGACTCTACCCCGCCGACAACATTTGGCGGCTCGACAACTGGCTGACCGTCGACGCCCCGGAGGCTTCGTCGAAGTTGCATTCGGCGATACAAAAAACCACCGACATTTGGCTCAAGGAAAAAGGTCCCGTGTTCTGGGAAAAGTGGACTGCGTTCCAGAAGGCTGCTCAGGGCCTTCTGGGCAAGGCCCGGGAGTTGCAAACTGCGGAACGCGCTCTGCTGGACGTCGAAGTGCGGGGCCGCAAGTACGCTGAAATTCTACAACTTCCAGAAGATGATCCCTACGAAGTGCAGCGCGCGCTCGAGAAGGCGCTCGGAGAGAAATCGCGAGCGCTGCGGGACGCGCAGTGGAAAAGTGACAAGCACATCATGTTGCTCGAGGAGTCTTTGCAGCGGCGCGGCAAAGAGGTGGAAAAGTACGCTTTGTTGGAGGTTAACATGCAGTACGAACTGCAGGCCGCCGCCGCCAAGGTTTCGGCGTACGAGCAAGAATTACGGACGCACAGACGCAACGCTGAAGCCGTGCGACAACGCGACCTGGACGTGGAGGAGTTCGAGGTGACGAAGCTCCGGAAGTCAGCCTTGGAAGACGACCTAGCCCGGGAGAATGACCGGAAAAATGTGCTCGTGGACAAGTTGCACGACTCGGAGCAGGAGAAGAAAATGCTGGAGCAGCGGGTCGCCGAGTTAACACGAAAATTGGAGCGAAAAGTATGAAGTACAAATATCGATCTGGGTCTGGAAGATGGATGCAATAAACCTGTCATGCAGAATTTTTATGCGCGACGATGTCTGGAATTATGCAGGACGAAGCATGACAGACTCCGCGAGGTCTCCGTCTCTATCATGCCTAGTATCCTGCATGAGAAACTCCCTCTCATGTTGGTCAAAAAAAGGCAACCTTTGGTGATCACGCAAGATGACAGATTTTTGTGTGACCCACTACAGGACGCATACCAAGTTCCATCCATCCAGACCGAGACATATTTGCGATGCATAAAAAGCCAAGCTCGACGACGTTGACGCGCATTTGGAAAGCATAGGCTTCGGTCAGTGCGAAATCTGCTGTGACGCGTACGTGGCACAAGGTATGACGGTGGCACGTGGTCCAAACAAGTTGTAGCCTGCTGCGGTCCAACGCAAACGGATTAGATGGCTTTGTTGCATGATTTTTGTTTTTTATGCAGATCTTCAGCACAGAATGAACTTTCAGTGTCAGCAATAACCACCTGGCATGTTGAATGAATGTAGGTAGCCAAAATCCGTTCGCAAAAGGCACTACAGCTTGTCACGAGTAATTTTTCCTCGGCACGACGCACGTGAACCAACGGCCGATGTGCTTCTCCTGCGGCCACGGAGCGTGTGCGAGCTGCGTGGACCTTCTGCGGGGGTGCGGTCGGGATCTGTGCCCAAAGTGCCGCGAGCCGGGGGTACTGCAGGATGCAGTCGTGAATTACGGACTGGAGGCCGCGCTAGAAACCCTGGGGCGGTGCGCCGTCCCTGCACCTCCGTCGCGCAGTGCCGAGTTGGCGACGCCGACCTTGCCCATGGGGCGTGGCCAGCTGCTACGAACCTTTGCTCGGAGATTGTGTTGCCGACAGACGCTGAATGTTCTCGCCCTGATAGTGGGTTGGGTGTGGGACCATGCCTGTGCCTTATGGTGTTGTTTCTGGCTCGCTGCTGTTTCTGGCTCGTCAGCGATGTGTTGTTTCTGGCTCTCGGTGTTGTTTCTGGCTTTCGCTGAATTGTTTGCTTTAAGTACCCTGACTATAATTCTTGAAGCGGTCACGGTTTAAAAATAAATACCAAAATCTGTTAAAGCACTCGAAAGCAAAGCTTATTGAAGAAATTTTCATTGTCGATCATGATTTGGACACCTACAAGTACAAGTACGTGTTGGTTTCTATTGAAGGCGAAAAACTATATAGTTATGGAGTATACCCTTGCAGCAGTTGTAAACATAGTGCTGCACTCGATTGTGTACGATAGGCCAGGACGGCTTTTGCAGTTGTTTCAAGTAGAATCACCGTGCCAAAAACCAAAATGAAGATGTGACTTTCAAGAGCTCCCTCGATACAGCTCAAGGAAAACTACCAACCAAGAAGAAGTTGCTCACTTCGTATGGAGGTAAGCCGAGGTGCCAAATCCAACGCTTTGAGCATCACTTTTTGCACATTCTTTTTCTTGCTGACGAGAAAGTTGTGATCTTGGGCTCACTGCCGAAGAGGAGATGTTTTTGAAAGGGAAAAACCGATACTGAACTGCCGAAAAAATGCGCTACCACGCATCTCATGTAACACCTGTGTGCCAGCACCTAGCATCCAATATTACGTCGCTAATCGGTTCGTTTTTCACTTCTTCATTGAGCGACGTTTTTGATGCGAGCGAGGAATACACACAAACCGTGTTGCTATTGTTAGGAGCGATCCGAACCGAGCGTCGAGAGTGACCGCTAATTCGACGAATTGACGTCAATTTTTGCAATTCATCGGCCAAAAACTTCGCGTTGCACAATTCGTTGAATCGCGTTAGGTAGATTCCTTTCTTGGAGATGGTTTTGTGCTTTTGCGTTTTCAGGATAAAGTATTTATTGCGCTAGTCCAATAATTCTTGACTGCTTAGTACCTCTACCTACAAGAACTTTATTTTTTTTTTGGCGATTCCGTTTTCGTTTTCGAGCTCTAGCTCTACTTTTCTGCCAACAAACCCGAGCTGTTGTGTTTTTGCAGCAGGAAGGACACTAAGCCTCTTCTCATCCAAAATGCCGAGCAACCCTAAGCTAGACTTCGGGGCCCTGGGAGCAATCCCCCTGGACGAGGAGTCCTGTGTGATTTCGCGCACGGCGTTGCAACAGCTGCAGGACGAGAACAAGGAATTGCACGGGCTGCTCCGATGCTGGAATCCGCGGGCTGCTCCGAATGCTCGCTGCGAGCATGCTGAGAAGCAGAGGCTGGAGTTACTGAATACGCACCTCCAGGTGCGTATTCTGCAGAAATACATGCAGGAATACAAACGCGAGTCGGAGGTTCTGCAGATACGAGTGGTCGATGAGAGAAAGAAGTATAGCCTTCTTCTGCGGGAGAAGGAAACGGAAATGAAGAACCTCCGCGAACGTCACGATCGGCTGATCCAGAGTAATTACCAGGTCGTAGACACGTTGCGGAAAACGGAACGAGCGCTGCGGGAGCTGTGCGAAGACGGAGTGCTCATCGCAACACGCCGGAAAGACGTACAGAGGCAGAAGACGAAGGCCCTCGAAAAGGAGATTGCGGCGTTAAAGCAAAAACTCGGGGAGCAAGAACAACAACGCACAACAACCCGGTGCAGCCGGAGGTGCAGGACACGAAATCCAGCCGCTTTGTCCAGTGGTGCGACACCCGAGATCGATGCGGACGAGCCGTACCCGAAACAAGCTGGCGGTGTCTACGAGGACTGCTGCGAGGACTACGAGGCTCGAGCCGTACCCGAAACAAGCTGGCGGTGGACCGCCAGGCTGGAGCACCAGCCTGGCGGTGTCTGCGCGTTGTGCTGCGAGGACTACGAGGCCCAGCGTATGCTCAAAACAAACTTTTCTGGTCTGCTGGCATTGTAAAGTGGCGGATCGGTGGCGTGGAAGCGCATGAGCTAGCATTTACACAGGCACAAAAATTACTTGATACTTTTGATTATGACTGCAACACTGCCGATGTTGTGACATGTTCCTCGATCGTTCTGTGGTGCTCGCGCTCCTGACCGTTCCCATTTCTACCGCAGCTGGCATGCCGAATCGCTCTTGTGTTTGTGCATAAAGAACGAAAGCAAGCGCCCGATGGTGTTTTGCTGCGGCCACGGGGCCGGCAAGGGGTGCGTCGATTACCTTTGCGACCTGAACCGATGGAACTGTCCGGTGTGCAGGAAACCTGATGCCCTACTGCATGCAGTTCCGTGCTTCGTCCTCGAGGAGGCTATGGGTTCTGATGTTCGAGTCCCTCCAGCCCTCCAGCACTCCCCGGACCCACCCCCCGTGATTCGAGGCCTTTAGGCGGCGAAGGATGACCCAGTCTTATTTTTTGATGTTGATCCCAACGAAAACGAAGACGGACACCACAAGAACTCCTCCCACCCTTTCCTTTGTGGGAGTACCGACTAACTAACTGTAGTAACTTGACGACCATTGAACGAGCGCCCTAGCTAGTCGCAAGGATCTTGAATTTTTGGAGAAAACAAAGAGCATGCTCTTGAGCAGAAAGAAGTTTGCTATTTCAGGCAGCACCAGCGCTGGAATGTTTTGCTTTACCGCGACACGGCTTCTCGTAAACTTTTTCTGCAGCGACCAGCCACTGTGTGTTCCTATATGGACTTGATGACACTAAGGCTTAGAAAAAAAAGAACACAAGCGAATTTTTATTCAAACGAATACTCTTCGAACCAAAAATATATTTTTGATAAAAAATATTCGTTTGGTAACGCATTGAGTGGCGTCGCGAACGACATTGGACACCGTACAGTGTGGATGCCACAGCGTTTGCGCCCTCCGGGCGATCGAGCACAGAGGAGTCGCGCCGCGAGCCCTTCTTCTTCTATCTTGAACACATTCACAGAGCTTTACTTCAGTTGCCGTTCCTTTCTTCAGTTGCGCACTTGTTTCTCTTTCTGCTGTGAAATTTGCATTCGTTTCCGGGCCCCTTCGGGAAGAATGCGGCGGAATTGTCGCAAGTAGGGCGGTTTACTTTTTGCTAGTTGTGCACGCTGGGAAGATGCGTAGTGCTATGCGAGCCGGGCGGTCGGTGGCCGGTCGCGAAAATGTATTGCGCATGCAGTAGCGGCCGCTTCGGCTTTTTGCCTTGTTCGGAAGAGCGCGAGCGCCTTTTCGTGTTATGCCAGCCTTCGCTCGGGGTCGGGGCCAGGAAAAAGCCTTTTGCTTATTGTGCGCGCCTGTTTCGGCGCCATCATTGGTAGTGGTGATTGTGTGCGCGTCGTGTTTTGTGCTCTGAGGGCGGGGAAAAAAAATTGGCGCGCTGCGCGCTGCGAGCGCACAGGCGCCGCGGTTTTGGTAGTTGCTTGCGATGCCCCTGTCACGTTCGGCAATCAGGGGCCGCGGCCGGCCGAGAAAAAAGATGCGGCGTGCTGCGCGCGCGCAGAAGCCCTGGCTTGCTTCGGGGATTGGGGGCTGGTCGAAAAATTTTCTTCGCGCGCTGCGCGCGCGCAGGCGCTCTGACCTGCTAGGGGCGCGACAAAAATTCTTTTTTCACGCTCAGCAGCCGGGGTCTGGCCGACGAAAAAGCTTGCGCGCGCTGAGTGTGCGCAGGCGCCTTGGCCTGGGAGCGCCCAAAATTTTTTGCAGCGCGCCCGGCAATCGGGGGCTAGCAGGAAAAGCAATTATCGCGCGCTGCGTGCGCAGACACCTAAGCACCGCACGCAGACATCTCCGTAGGCTCTTGCGTTGCCTGGGGGCGTTGACAGCTCTACTCGCGTCCGGTAGCCGGCGGCCTTCCGGGGAGTAAATGCCGCGTGCGCACAGACGCCTTGGACTGGGGGCACGGAAAGTTTTCGTCGTTTGTGAAAGCAGGGGGGTGCTGGAAAAAAATTTTTCGCGCGCTGCGCGCGCGCCGGCGCCTTGCCTAGGGGCGTCAAGCTCCCCTCGGGGGCTGGCCGGATTGATTGGCCAGCGGGCGCGGTTGCATGCAAATTTTTTTCGCGCCCGGAGGTCGCAGCTTTGCCAGAAGACAACTTTGCGCGCGCGCCCCGGCCTGAGAACGCGGGCAGCAAGCTCTGCTCGTGTGCGACAGCCCGTCGGGGGATGCTCTGAAAAAAAATTTCGCGCGCTGCGCGCGCGTAGGTGTCGCGGCCACATAGGGCGGAGTTTTTTTTTGTGACCGGCGCGCGAGGGTCTGGCTGAAAAAAGTGGCCAGCCCGCGCGCCCGTTCGTTGTCGCCTTGGTCTTGGATCGCGGAAAATTTTTTCGCGCCCGGCAGTCGAAAGCTGGGGGGAAAAAACTTGCCGCGCGCGCGGGCGCGGGCGCCGTTGCCTGAGAGTGCGGCGAGCACGCAGCTCTATGCTCATTCGGCAGCCGGAGCTTGGCCGGAAAAAAATTTCCAGCGCACGCTGCGAACCCGCGCGCAGGCGCTTCGGTCTGGTAGCACGAAAAATTTTTTCGCAATCCACCGGTAAGCGGGGGCTTGTCTGAAAAAAATTTTCCTGCATCGCGCGCGCCCGCTGGCGGGCGCCTTGGCAGGAGAGCGCGCCCGCGCGGAAAATTTTTTCGCGCCCGGCGATCGGTTACTGGGAGGAGGAAACATCTTCGCGCGCGAGTCGGTAATTGGGAGGGGGAAACTTCCTCCCGCGCGAAGCAGGCGCGCGGAGTTGTTATCTCGCGTTCGGAAATAGTGGGCTGCCTTGGAAGAAAATTGCTGCTCGTTGCGCTGCGCGCGCGCAGGCGCCTTAGCCTGCAAGCGCCGCGCGCCTTTTCCTCGTCAGGCAGTTCGTGGGGGCTGGTCGGATAAGAAAGATCTTCGCTCGCTAGGCGCGCCCAGGGGCCCTTGCCTGAGAGTGTGCGTGGGGCGATGACTGAGGGCGCGGAGCGTTTTTCTCGTGTCCCCCGACCGGGTGCCGCCCGGGTTTTTTATGTTAATCTCACTGCGCGCACTGTCCGTGCCCAGAGATTCTCCGGTAAGTGTTGTAAACGAAATGACCGGGCGCGGGCCGTGCAACTGCAACTCAGCGCAGCTAGGTTTTTTTGCTCCCCGCGCGCGCAGCGTGGCGGGCATGCCAGTCTAAAGGCCCCACGCATGCCCGCCCTGTCTCGGTAAAAGTCGCTTCAACAAATAGCCCGCCAAAAAAGTAGGTCTGTGCCGGCCGTCTTTTTCTGAGAGTGAGAAGAACCGCTGCGCCTGTAGCTCGGTCCTCTCTCTGTTTCGCCCGCGCTTTTGCGCTTCGCGTGTGGGATCCACCTGGAAACCCGGAGAAGCCATGGGGAACACAGGGGCGGGAAGGAGATTAGGGAGCGGCGTAGGTAGCAACGTGAGTGGGGGGATCGGGAAGCAGAGAGGTTGTGGGGGTGCGCGTGGGTTTCGGGAATGTGGAGGCACGGACGCCCGCGGCTGTGGGTGCAGTGGTGCAGGCCGTCGCGGTCTGGCAATCGCTCGGGTCGCGCCTGGAAACACCGAGCTGCAGGTCAGAGTCATTGCTTCGCTCTTCTTGAAGAAGCAGCCTTCCAGGCCTCGTCTCGCCGAAGTGCCAGATGGATGCCAGCATATTGAGGCCTCCTCGGCCCTTCCGGGGTGGGCCGCCCTGGCCCTCCTTGGCCTTCTGAGGCCCCCGTGGCCCTTGTTGGCCTTCTGAGGCCAAGAAGGCAGGGTGTAGGGGGCAAGAAGGCAGGTTGTAGAGGGCCCTGCTCGGCCTTCTGAGGCAGCCGTGGCCCTTCTTGGCCTTCTGAGGCCAAGAAGGCAGGGTGTAGGGGGCCCTGTTTGGCCTTCTGAGGCCGCCGTGGCCCTTTTTGGTCTTCTGAGGCCAAGAAGGGTGCAGGGGTCCGACCAATCGGCCAAACGGATATATCTTTTCAAACGTATATTTTTTTCAAACGAATACTTTTGCGATATTTTCGCCAATTCCTTGCCTTTTTATGCTTTTGGTTTCTCTTTTTCTCTTTTTCTTTGGAAGTGCGGAGCCCGCGCGTTTTTGGCTCAAGTCATTTTGGCTCAAGTCTGCGGATCCCGCAAACTCGCAGGCGCCTTGTTTTTTCCGCCTAGCCAGCGGGGTTGTCAGGGTGGGGGGGCGGACGCGACAGCGCCGTGGAGGTGTCGCACTTGTTCATCAGCACCACTGCGGAGTTTTTGGCGCGGCCGTGCGGTGGTTCCGGCGAAGTGATTGCTCTACCCGGAAGGAAGAAAGAAAAGTAGTTCTAAAAATTTAGCTTATGCGATCAACAGGCTCGAGAACTTGTCTCCGGAAGTCAAATTCAGCACGCCTTCCATTAAGTCCCCTAGAGTCTGGTCTGCTAATCCAGGCGGTAGCATTCATCTCGTGCTTGGCTTCTAAACAGGTTTTCTTGCCTATTGACGGTAGTCCGTCTAATAGATAGTCCCCAGTTCTAGGTGGCGCCGCTTGTGGCTGTCACGAGGTGATTCGCACCTCCCCGGAGTGAGAGAAGGTTCGTTGCCGGGCTTCAGTACCTTTCGTCTGGCCTGGGCTCCTGGTGCTGCGTTCACCGTTAGGAGTATAAGAATTAAGAACATAAGCCTAGCTGCACTGGCAGCCGACCTTACGCGCACCATCAGAAGTGCGGAACTGGCCGGCCTTTGTGGTGTCTCACCATCAGAAGTGCGAACTACGAGGGCCGGGGCGTGCCGCCTAAAGTCCTAAAAAGTCCCATCGCGCGATAGATAGATAGATCTTTTCTTTCTTTTTTCTTTTCTCTTCTTTTCCTTTGTATTTCTCCTTGTCTTTGTCATCTTCTCATCCTCTTCTATTCAAATGAATATTTTCAATCAAACGAATATTTTTCGTGTTCTTTCTCTCCGAGCTCATAGTGTGGACAGATATTGAAACAAAGCTCGTCAGCAGTAGCGTACCCTGTGAGAGAACGACAACATGTGTCCTTGTTTATGAAAGAGCCCCAGCTAGGGGCCTGTGCTCAAACAATAGAGAGCAACTTTTCCTCACCTACCTACGCGCGCCAAGAAGACAAAAATATCACCAAGATGCCGCGTGCGAAGCGTTGGGTCGTGAAGAAAAAAGACAGCGAGGGAAATACCGTTGACACCGAGTCTCGTTTGCAAAATGAGGAGCTCCAGCACGTGCAAAACGCGAAGCACTTGTCGGAGCCGGACGCCACGGAGGAAACGGGTGCCAACAGTAGCGCATGGAACAGCAGCACCTCTCTCGCGGGACGAGCATCGGCAACCCCTGCGGCAGACAACAAAGACACTGCGCAGAGGTCCCGGCTTATTTCTTCCTCGACCGCGCAGCAAGAACACGCACCAACCCAGAAAACACCTCCAAGTACTAGCGTCTTCGTGCCGCCTCCAAGATCCCAGTACTGCGGCCGACCGCCGGAGGCACCCAATTTCTTCGATTGCGTGGAAGAGGAGACCATCAGAAACGAGACGGGCAACGAACAGTACACGATCGTACGGAAGGTTGGCCGCGGCAGTTTCGGCGTCGTGGCACTTTGTAGTTCCGTAAGAACTACGTCTACGTTTCCCCACATCGCTGCGTCTTCAGCTCAACAGGCTGGAGGTGGCACGTCCACAAAAATAGACCCAAATGGCGGAGGCGGAGTGCAGTCGCTTTATGCCGTGAAAATTCTCCGGCCGCTGCAGAAATACAACCAGTATGTGAACGATGCGGAAGTGGAAATCGCGAACCTGCGGTTATTTTCAACCAAACTCCACCCCGCCGACGATACAGTTAATCATGAAGAGCGACAACACTACGTGGTCACGCTGTTCTCTGATTTCACCTTCCAACACGGGTGCACCACAAACGGCAAATTGTACCACGCGCTGGTCTGCGAGGCGCTGGACTGCACGCTGCACGAATTTGTGGTTGAGAAAAATGGCGGATTTGGGCTCTGGCTGGAGGACATCCGGGTTTACGCCAAGCAGCTGTTCCAGACCGCCGCGTTTCTGCATGACAAACTGGGGGCCTGTCACACGGACTTCAAACACAAAAACATCATGTTGACGTTCCCACCTAGGGTTCTTGGCGGCGCAGGAGCATCATCTTCGGGCGCACCAACGGAGCGTTCCTGTTTTTCCGAAGACTCCTTGGACCACGACGCAAATCTTTACCGTGTCGTGGACCTCACAGTAGCAGATGAAAAGAAGAACAAAGGATCCACTCCTGCTCTCGCGGCCAACCGTCAAGCCCTCGATCTGCTTCCTGCCCACATTCGGGAAAAGTACGATAGAAAAGCGATTCCTAGTCGCGGCGGGAAGGCTACGCCAGCAAAAATTCTTCGCCCACGTACGCGGGAAATCCGTGTGATTGACTTCGGGAACATGACCCTGCGCCGAGATTTTGGGAAGGTGAAGCCGGTGAACACGAGACAGTTTCGGGCTCCGGAGATTCTGCTTATGAAGGAGAATTGGTGTGAGGCACTTGTGCTGTAGTTTCGCATGCCGCATCGACTTGCACTTAGTGAGGCAATGCAGTGTTTTGCATGTTATGCGTTTTCTTCTTGCGCCGGATAAAGCTTAAAGATAAAGAACTTGATGTATCATTTTACGAAAGACAAAGAGCTCGATGCTGCGCGTGCTTGCAGTAAAGGTTTTAATAAACGGTCTCTACTTTGTTCCTGTTGTTACAGCACCCCTATCTCTCGTTCCATAGGACTCGATTGCCAGCCTTGGGATGAGAAGTCGGACATCTGGTGCCTCGGCTGCGTGCTGCTGTTCCTGTACTTTGGGGAGCTGTGCTTCGACTCCCATGACGACCTTGAGCAGCTCCACATGATGCAGCGTCTCTTCGGTGACGAGCGAACCGGCGCAGGAAGCCGAAATGGAAAAACTACCGGCGCCGGCAACACTTTCGAGTTTGCACTCTGCTCTAGCGGTGGTGCGAATACTCCTAGTAGCAGCAACGCCACGTCAGCGAAAAAGGCCAAGCGACTGCTGGCTGCCAGCAGTTCTTTACCAGATACAGCAACCACTCCGGCTGTTCGCGTCCGGCCACTAAAGTGGGAGCTCGAGCACTGGAAGCTCCGGTCTGCGGAAGAGATTTTTGACAGCGAATTTCGTGATTTTCTACAGTTCTTGATGGTCTTTGACCCCGCGAAGAGACCGTCTGCTGCCGAAGTACTGCGGCATCCGTGGTTGGCGGAGACTAAAAGTGGCACGTAGCGGGCGCAAGGCAGGACATGGGTGATAAGAATAGTACTACGATGCACCGGACTACTAGGAACAAAACTACGGAGCAGTTTTGGGGAACGGTTTTTGCAATCACGGAGGAATTGCAACAAATACTTGTTTTTACTTGGACCATTTTCCCGGAACTGTTTGTCTGGTACTGATTTCCTAGAATGCTTGACGCTCTCCCGCCACGTGGCACTTTCGAATGGTGATGTGGGCTAGATGGATTTGGTGCTCTAGCTGCGCCAAAAGAATAAAGCTGAAACAGAAAGAACTAGTCGTTTTGATGCGGGTATGACCACGATGAGTCTACTGTATACGAGTTTGAACGTCGTGCTGCGTAGTAGGTCTTTCTGATGTTGTTCATCATCGAGGATGGTTTACGGCGAACCTCTGAAGGGGATGCGAGGATGCCATATGCATCCATTGAGCGTGACGAGCGCTGCAGTACCACGAAGTGGTGTCAGACCCCGAGCGAGGAAGCAGTAGTGATATAACGGAGTAGAGATGATGAAAGCACTGACGCTCGCTTACGAGCCAGATGCTCATGTTTTTAAGTAATTCGCGAGCCACAGACACAGTTGCGTATGGGTACTGGTACATCGTCCGTGCTTAGAATGAGGGAACTGCATCATAGTAGATGTGATACTACCATGGCCATGGCTGCTCCCTCCATTGGTGCTCTGCAAGGCGCCAGCAGCTCGAGCGCCCTCTGCTTTGCGTGGCCGAGTAGCGCGGTTTGCTGATGATTTCGACGCCCGCAGCGTCCAGCGGCCTCGCGTCGCCAATGATGCCCTGCTGCAACAAATGCAAGTGGGGCCTGTCACGGGTGTCGCGGTAAGGGCGGGCAGAAGCGTAGCGACAAACGAAGAACATGCGGGCGCCGTCCTGAGCGTTGAGCTGCACGCGCGACGCGTGTGGCAAATATCAGCAACAGAGGCCACCCGGCAAGACCGAAAGGCCCGGCGCCGCAGGCACTTGGCTTTGCGCCCGCCGCTGGCTGGCTGAATCGGCGGCGCGCGTTTTTCGGCGCAATCGCTCGCGTTCTTCGCCCCGGCCTTTTTAAGACGCCCCGGCCGACCTTTTTAAGACGCGGCCCCTGTGGTGCGCGCAGCCAGCGCTGGCCTCGGTGCCTGGCTGGCGCAGGTGGGCGGAGATAGATTGCTGCAGCCGGCGCCGTGCAAGTGGCCGCCCGTCTTTCCTATTTCGCTGGCCTGCGTGTCTCGGAAGGCCCGGCGGCCGGGCTCCAGACATCGCTACTTACAGATATTTGAATTTTAATTTCGTATGTAATGAGATGACAGTACCATGTTCCAAGCGGCTTGCTGACCATCAGATCACCCGGCGCTGCCTGAAGAGAATGTTCCCGAGTGCAGCGCCGATGTGTGGACTCATTTAGCTGCGGCGGAGGAGAGGGAAATCTTTCGAGCTATACAAACAAAGCACTAAACATGCTGGACTGCCAGCACTTGACGGAGGCGATCACGCATTTAGCTTCCGAGAGTGCGTAAGTATAGCAGTGCGATGAAGTGTCAGACAGACGACGAGGGAACGTGCAGAGGAGTAAAATGAGTGAGCGCACCAGTTTAAGTCACTGACCTTCATGCACGAACGCAACATGAGCGAGCGCCACAAGAACACGGGCGCGACGACTATTGTGAGTGTGCAAGTTTTGTTGGTTTTCCTGTAGTCAGTACGCGGCGGCCAAATCATATGAACGCTACCAAGATGACTCGGAGCCCCCCCCCGCACTGGGCGGCTCGCCCTTCGGCGCCGCGCCTGCGGGCCGGGAAACTTGAGTTGCGTTTCGTCTTTGAATCTGAATAAACAGCCACAAGGCTTTCCGCGCATAAAAGGGAAACGCGGCTACAGGTGATAGACGAACCGCAGCGCTCCTGCGTGCGCTATAAGCGCGAGAGAAAAGACCTCCAGTATCAATCGGGATGCAGTTTCTTCCGCGCAAAAGCTAGAGCGGCGAGGGCATAAAAGAACAGGCAGGGCGCAGGGGGGCCAGCTTTAGAGTGGGCGCGCGTGCGCCGCGCCGCTTTTCCCTCTGGCCCAGCTGTGCCGGTTTGCGCAGCTTCTTCCGCGCAAAAGCTAGGACGGCGAAAGCATGGAAGAACAGGCAGGGCGCAAGGGGGCCAGCTTTGGAGTACGCGCGCACGCGGGGCGCCAGCTTTCCCCCCTGCGCACGCGCCGGCCCGACCTTCGGCGCCGCGCGTGCGCGACGCCGGGAAACAACTTGAGGCGCCAGCCACCGCCGCTGCCCAACGATCTTGCCGGCTGGCCGGCAGAACGCCGGGCGGCGCAATGGGGCGCAGGCAGAAAAACGACTTCGTGCGGAGACGCTGCGAGCAAAGAAGAGGAGGACTAGTTTTCATTCAATCAACATTTCTCGCTTACGCTGTTTGTGTTGTCGCGGATTACTTCAGACGGTGCTCCAGTCAGCATAAAGCGCACTAAATTTTTGACAAGAGAATAAAGGTCTTCCTCATGTGCAACAGCAGATTATAGATTTTGTTTCGCGCAAGCTCGGGCGCGCGGTAGTCTGAATGATCTCTAGGCTTTGTTGAAGGTCATTTGTCTATGCAACGACAAGAACTACACACGGTCCATCTTATCAAGATTTGATCACACAACCGCCTGCAACTCACCAGAAACACCACAACGGATCATCTTGTGCTATGGATCCTTAGCAGTACACGCCAGTCAACGTGAATTTTTACACACACTCCAGGCACAGCTAGCTTGAAAGGTCGTATTTTTGAACTTTTACTCAACAAAATATATCGCGAACATCGACATAGATCATCATTTTCATTGAAGAATGAAAATCAATTTTTTGTTGTAAAATTTTTGTTGTAAAATTATAAAAGTGGATCGTTTTTTTTCAACTTTTGTCGGACTACTACGAACACCTCCGATACGGTTTGCTATACGAACTTGCGAACAAACGACTTTTGATGGTAGAAGGAAAAAGAGAAAGATAAAGGACTGCACCTCCACCACCCGCCACGCCTGACAATAACGCACACAGAAACAAGTCTAAACCATGACAACTCCGCGTTCGACGACTGAAATCTTCCGGTCAGCTCCCAGCGGAGCCTGCCAAGTGTTGGTCAGGACGCTATTTTGTCTTTCCGCTGCCGCGACGACTTCCTACAACTACTCCGGCGTTGAGCACAATGCTCCGGAGACAACCTTTTTCATCCCAGCCGCTTTTGCCTTGGCCCGAGCAGCCGCAGCGCCGACGTCCACCCAAGCAGGTCCTTTGGATGCAGCCGCTGGTGCAGGAGACGATGTCTCTGGCGCAGCCACCGAAACCGACTCCGCCCCACCTCCGCGCCATCTCCTTGTGGACCCCGCTGCGCCCGCCCGTCTCGTGGCTGCGGAAGGGATAAAACTTCCATCTCCCAGCAGAGGACGCAGTGGGAAGACCAAGGCATCCTCTCGCCGCGGCGGCCTTTTGCGCATCCCGAGTCCCCAGCGGAAGGAGATGGACACGGAGTTTTGGACGCGCGATCTCTCGCCAGTTTTTGGCGTTCGCGAAGGTTTGGAGCGCCGCGTTCCGGAGTTCATTTTAGTACACAGAAATGAGAAGCCAGATGACCGGTTGAGTGAAGCTGGTGCCCCTGTTAATAGCCTGGCTTTGGAACAAGGGGATGATGGTGTTTTTGCGACAGGAGCGTCTGCATCAAATTCCGGATCATCCTCCTCGAGCGCTGCACCAATGGCATCATCCTCGGGGTGGAGCAGCGGGGCTGTGGGGAGACAGGAATTTTTTCCCGACTTCGCGCTTGACAAGACCAGAAGCGATGACTCATCTTTAGCACAGCCTTCCTCCCCATTCTCGCTCGCGGCAGCGCTGGGTGCCGACCGTCCTAGTAGAAGTTCCTGGGACGAGCGGGCTTCTGCGTCGGGTCTGCAGCAGAACTTTTGGGAAGATGAACAGGGGGCAACAACAAAATCGGACGAAGCAGCGCTCTCCTTTCAGCAGAAGCAGAAGGGATTGCGCGATAGTAGATACGAGATACTGGTCCCTGATTCTGCGGAAAATAATGACAAGCAAAAGTCCATTGTATTGTCGTGAAAAAAACCGCTGCGTGCCAGTACGTGCAGAATACAACCCTGTTTGTGATGCGTTACTTGCTATGTACAACTCGATCTTGAATGATTAATTCCATATTGTCACCAATTTCAGCACGAGGCATGATCTTCGATTGAGGCACACGGACCTGACGCTCATGGTATTTTTGGGTACAACCACACGGCAGTAGAGGTTTTTTTCTCACCTGGATACACCGTGGAGGAGTTTTACGCAACTGTTGAGCAGACAGAGGACGCCCGGTCAAAGCTGCAGGAAAAAAAGCCGAAAATCTTCAAGGCGCCAAAGGATCCATCACAAGGAAGCAGCACATCATCTGCTTCTGCAGCCGCTGGCGCGCCCGTCGTCCCGCTGTCACCGCTGTCCGTGCAGGACCTTGCAGCCAGCGGTTTTCCGGTTATGCCACTGACCCCGAGCGCGGCATTGCAGACACCAGGTCGTGCAGCAGTGACCTCCGCTGGGCCTCCGGATCTTCCGCCACAGTCTGGGTCTAGTGCGTCCGGCAAGTTAAACCTCCCCCCGGGGACCTTCGTGGCGCAGCCAAAGCAGCTGTCTCGTCGCGAGCGTGCAGCGGCGGCGAGAAGGGACCAAACACTTTCACCTACTGTAGGCCCGACGGGGGCGGGGACGACGACGCAAGCTTTTACAACTCCACCAGGTACTAGTTCTTACGCAATGTTGGCTTACCTGGCTGTGCCGTCTAACGCCTGCGCAGCTGGTGAACAGCAGAGCCGCTGCTCGGGTGCTGGTTTTTCTGCTCCGTGCACTATCCCACCGCAATTCATCTCCGGAGCCGCGCCACTCGCGTCTACTTCCGCTGGTCTACAACTCCCCGCAATCCGGATACAAACAGATCCGCATACGGGACAGCCGCAGTTACCGACCTATCACGAGCTCGGACTCGTAACGGCGGGCAGTCCGTTAGCGGGTGTGCCTGTGCGGGCAGTGCTGCTTCCGGCGGGGGGAAGCTGCAATCAAGCACCGATGTTCTTCGGTCGTGCAACTGCGGAAGCTCCGAATGGCGGTTTTTTTTACCCCGGAAATCCTGTTGCATCTCGTCCGCAGGGCGAGGATCTTTTCGCTTCTCGCGCACAGGAAGCCTCGTCCCGTGCAGAAGAGGACGTAACAGGACTTGTTCCAGATGATGGTAAAAGCCGCCGAGAACTACGTGGTGACTCGGCAGACTCACCCACTCACAACAGTGGGTCGGCAGCCTCCTCTGCTTACCAATCAGCCTTGGACCAATCAGCTACGACAGGAGGAACTGCTGGCGACGAAGATACATCTTCCTACCTCGGAGTTCAACATCCTGCAAATCCTTTTCCCCCCCCGTTCCAGCACGGAAACTGCCCGTCCGTACCGCAGCCGCAGTGTTTTGCCGGCCTTATTTCACCGCAACCAGGGTCCTTGCCGGGTATGGTAGACGGGGACTTTTCCCCTGTATTCGCAGTAGGACAAAATCAGAGGCACGGAGAGCCATACGACAGTTCTGCGGCTTCAACCTCTCCGTCGGCCTTCGCGTCACCAATGTCTTTTTTTCCGCAGCAGGCGACAGACTGCTACCCACCCGGCTTCTTCCACCCTGTCTCGCCCGTCGCGGGAGGTAAGGGCAAAGGAGGAAAAGCAGGCATCGAACCCGGCAAAGCGCATAACACAGCACGGAGCCTCCTGGCAAAAGGAGGTGGGAACAAGGGAAATAGTTTTGCGACTGGAGCAGGTGGGAAGGGAAGTGCCATGGCGGATGGCGACCACAATGCCCGCCTTGGCGCTGCAGATCATTGCGTTTCAAATTCAGTTTCCTTCCCCGCCCACCCGCCTTGGCAGCTGATCCTGAAGCATTACTACCAGCAGACGACGAACCAACAGCAGGGGTCCTCGCCAGTTGGTTTCTATCATGACCCATCGCGCAAACACATCTACCCAGCGCAGTACCCGAAACGACTGACGAAAGAGTGGCGCCTTCCGGACGGCAGTTTCTTGGAATACGTTTTCTCGGGCGAGAAAATTTTTATCGGAGGCCTGCGAGACACCGTGGTGGCAAAACTGTCCGAGAAGCTGCTTCAGGAAGTGATTCTTGGAAGGAGTATTCGAAAGAAAGTACAGGGAGATCTTCAGACCGACTTCCAAGCCCCCGGCCACAACATGAAAGAACGACTGCGCCGGGCGCTCAGCATGCACGTTCACGGCGCAATTCGCGACCTGTGGCGACCCGCGTCTGCGCTCGCGTGGCAAAAACCACGTGGGGCTGACCCGTTAAAAACGACAAGGCAGGGTGGTTTGTCGCCGGCGCTTTTGCAGGCGCTACAGCAGGCCGTGGTCAGTGCCGTCAAGGAGTACAACTTGGTCGAGGAAAAACGAGAGGGAGGGCATTTATTTCCAGTGCAAGACCTCCTTCTAGGCGCGAGCCTTGTCGACACCACCGCCACCACCGCACTGGTAGAGCTCGCCAAGGAAATAGCCGGCCTGCTACACGACCACTTGATTGTGCACTTACCGGCCCACGTGGCAGAAAACGGTCTCTGGGTGAACACGGAAGCCTTCGCGCCGCAGCTGCTGTATCCTATGTAAAAACGTCCGCACCCCATATTTGCCATGCAGATTTGCAGTCACAGACGGATTTGTAATAGTAATACGCAACCCCATCATGAGATACATTTCCCATCGCAGTTTGGACATTGTAATGCTTTAAACAGGATGAGTAGACGGCTTCGTGATCCACGGCTGCACTTGCTAAACCGCACTACAATACAGAGAGGAACTTGTCATGCGTGACTCCCAAAACTTCTCGACTTGTGTTGCGAGATCCCCATCTTGACTCTGGGGTGGGGACGTTTTTACATAGGATATTCTGCGGGGGTTCATTTACGCCGAAATCTACTTAGTACACCCTTGGTCGGTTTCTAAGTTGAAAGAAGTTTTTGCTTCTTCATCTTCATTTCGCAGCGGGAGCAAGAAGACCTCGACGTCCGCGGGAGCTGGTGCAACTGGAGCAGAACTTGGAGCGTCCTCTTCTTCTTCCTCCCACGAGAGGCCGGGTAGTACTTCATCCGGAGCAAGTCCAGCTTGTCCTCCAACCCTTGACAGCCCCGAGGATCATCTTCACACGGAACGAGAAGAAACCGCTGCTGCGTTGGTGGAGCTCGCCAAGCGCGTGGAAACTTTCGGTAGCCGTCTAACCGCTGCGATGGAGCAACACTACCAGGAATTGGACAAGATGGAAGCTGGGTCTGCTGTGGACTACGACCGTCGCGATAGAAGCATTAACACAAGTAAAATATTACAGCACCGACACAAGTGCAACATCAGCCTTCCGTGTTTCACCGATGCGCGCGTCAAGGCCTGGAAACGGTGGGCGGAGGAGAAACTCAACGGCAAGTATTGGGATTCTATAACCAGTTGCGAAGCCACATTGAATTGGTATCGAAGTGTGGACTCCCTGGCCTTCTTGGTGCTGCGGTGGAAGGAAAAATACGGCTACGTGCCGGACTTTCGCGTGGTGAAAGATGATAACAACTGGAAGTGAAGATGATTTTTTTACCTCGGTTGCTAGAGCCTGTGGGCGAGGAGGGGCTAGCTCTAGCAACTGCTATAAAGTGATTGACTAATGGTAATGGTTGTATATTGCAAGCAAGCAACCAGGACTGCGAGTGAATGACAGAATTAAGTATATGCAAAGCAAAAAAAGCCCTTATTACATCGTTAGAAACCTTCGTACTACAACCGGGAGTGCACCTCAGTGAGGACAGAGACAAGAATACAGGATTTAAACTTCGATCATTGGGAAACACAGGAAGGAAGAACTTGGATGAGCAAATAAATTTTGTGATTTCATCTGGGTACAAGTTGTCGCAAAAATGGCAAGATCATGACTGTATCGAAAATGCAAATTTGTTTTGTCTGGTGAAGACTTCTGAGCCAGGATTATTCTGGTGATTTCTGAGCCAGATTCAAAAATTAAAATCTGCTTCAATCGGAGGCACACTGCGCTTCTACCCTAAAAGGGTCGCGGTGCAGCATTCAAACGATGTCGTTGATGTCGTTTGTTACGTGTTCACAGTACTTCTGCAAAAAGTTGCTGCTCATTTTTGAGAGAGGGTCTACTTTTGTGTTGCGAGCTGTGTATTAACAAAAACGTGCGCTGAGGAGATGTTTATGAGTCGCAGGGAGCAGTGGCACTGCTTTTCCGATGACCGCCGTTGAGACGTACAGCCTTTTTGGTAGTATAACGAGGGAGCAAAAGGAGAAGCGCAACGCGTCCATGGAGCGCTGAGAGCGTCGTGGGAGCAGGGGAAAGTAAACAATATGAAGTAGAAGTGGTAATATCTAGCATGAATTTTTGGAAATCAAGTCGGATAGATTCAGTTTCTTGCCCCGGCTTGCCGTTGTCGCAGGCTTTGATGCCAGAGGTCGCATCTCGCATTACGATGTGGTGGCGGGACGGAGCACCTCTTGCGACGCATCCCGCGTTCGGCGTGTCCAAGCGGTGCAGCAGGTGATCCAGAACTGGCGCCAGGGGTTCGCGCCGGAATTCCGTTTGCAGTACCATCGGCCTCTGCGAAGAGAGCCGGCTGTCGCAGGGGCGACGGGAGCTGCTCAAGTGCCTGCGGGAGATTGCTGCGTCTTAGTTCCCAGAGGGATTGGGCCGCCATGCGCGGCAGGTGGTGCACAACTGCCGCCGGGGGTGTGTGCGGAACGGGCGCCACGGGTGTGCCCAGGCTGCGAGAGGGCCGCGGCGCGGCTCGGCAGTTACCACGATGCCGGGTCGCGCTGCTCCGCGCGATTGCCCGGCGTGGGTGATGGATGCCCTCACCCCGCCCGCTCTGGAACCACGCGCCGGCCCGCATCGGGCTGGTGGGGGCATGCCCAGGTTTTCGCCGGCCAATCCGGCTTTCGGGATGCGGTTCTCCCCCGCGTCCAATCCGTCCCGCTGGCGGGGTGCTATGGCGGCCGCGGGGCATTGAGATTTTCACGGCGCCGCGCCCCCGTGCTGCCCTGCTGCTGTAGCGCCGTTCGTGTGTGCGTCTCGGTCCTCGGGCATTGCTCTGCTGCGAACCGGAAGACCTTTGTCCTGCGGCTGCGATTCCTTGTGCGGACGATAGTAACCGGACAGCAATTTTTCCGCCTTCTGCGACAAGACTGCCTTAGATGATTTCGTTTTCCCTGAGAGCGAGGCGCGAGTTCTTGTGTGCGAGGACTTCAAAAACGAGCGAGGAGCAGGCTTCATTGAGTTGCTGCTGAACGAGTGAAATTGCTTGCGAGCGTGAGATTGTTGGTGAGCGTGAGATTGCTGGTGAGCGTTTACTTACATGTTGCTGGGAACATGCAAAATGCAAATGTGAATGATGAAAGGGAGGAATTTGAGCCCGCGGCGGGTGTGTTGCGCGGACAGTGTCTAATAAAACTGTACTAGCTGTTTTTGTCCTCGACCTCCTGCTCAACGATCCGCTCGCGTGCCAACATTCATCATGTACCAGGCGCACACCATATTACAGTGAAAAGTGTCCCCCACCCCCAAAGTGGCAAAAATTTGTGATGCGAAGTTTCCAAATGAAAACTTTTTGTCATGCATGAAAGGAATATGAATCTTTCTGATACAGATTCTAGTGGTGTTTTGCATCGCTTGCATGACAAGCACCGCTCTTGCTGGGATCTTTTGCAATACAAATTTTTGCTATTCACGATCGGAAATCTGTGATGCTGATAGATGCAAGAGGGCGAGTGTTTCATTTGGAAAGGTTTGCAATACAAATGCTTTCAAGTTTGGGGGTGGGGACATTTTTCATTGTGAAGATACACCAACTTTTCGAATCGCTACTCCACGAGCATCGCCCGCCTGATGCAAGGTGATAGTATCGAATGCGAACATGTCTGGGTCTGGAAACTTGTGATGCTGGTTGGCGTATCATGAGGAGGCCACAAGTGCTCGCTCAGCATGACAAGTTTCTGAGGTTCTAGGTGTTGCCTATTCTGCATGACAACCTGCGTTTCTGCATGACAGAAAAATGGCGCTCTGGAAGAATCCTGCTATCGAATGCGAACATGTCTGGGTCTGGAAGAATGTTGGAGACACTCTGCATGCATTTGGTTATACTCTTCAAGACGGTCACGGTGTTGTTGTCGGTCCGGAATGAAGAACTACGAATGCTTCTCCATGCCAACCCTGCATGGGAAGTGCCCTCTTCTGGAGACAAGAAGTGTGCGTCTTTTGCTAACTATAATGCAACAGAGATTTATTTTGATCTTGCCTCCTGCTCCAGACTTATCCGCATCACAAGTTTCCTCGTATTTTTTCCAGACCCAGACACATTTGCAAGCCATAGACAGACTCGACGAGCAGCGCGGTTACAGCGAGAAGCGCGTTGCGAGGTCGGAGAAGGAGTTCCACGAGAGGATGCGGGCCAAGCACGGCGGTGCCACAAACTCCTACCCGGGGGCACCAGGAAACGAGATGTTGGACCCGGTGTATGCGGACACAGACCTGATTCCGCCGAAAATTTTCCATCTCCCCGCGGTATCAACTGTAAAAATGTCTGGGTCTGGAAGAATTCATGTTTGTCATGCTTGTCTGGCATGACTCTTAAATCTGTCATGCACGTTACCCAAGAGCTCCGCTTTTCTATGATGCAGAAGCGCAGTTTGTCATGCAGAATAGGCAACACCTAGGAGCTCAGAAGCTTGTCATGCTGCGCCAGCATTTGTAGCCTCATCATGAGACGCCACCCAGCATCACAAGTTCCCAGACCCAGAGACTTTTACTTTTGATACGCGGGTCCCGTCGACTGGGCCGATCTGGTAGTACAACAGGGGTGTGATTATTACAAGCGCCGACAGATCATGGACGAGGGAGGAGCAGGAGACAATAGTTTGCACGACCTGGGGCTGCAAAATATCAAAGTACAACCAGCGGTGGAACAAGTGCAGGAAGCTGCTGCATCATCTACTTCATCAACTTCGTCTACTACGCACTTAGGCATCAAGATCAATACGTCCGAGCAAGAAAAATCGACCGGTCAAGAAGGGCCACGGGGGAAGCAGATGGAGGACAGTCGCGAGGCAGCCGGTCCTGCGTTTCGTGTGGACGGCGAATTTTCATTGGATGCGGAGTTGGAAGAGCGCGTGCTGAGTGGGTATCAAATGCAAATATGTTGTCTGGGTCCGGAAAGGTGAAACTTGTCATGCTGCTCTTGGATTCCAAAAATATCTGTATTGCCTGAGCAGCAAGAGGAATCTACCTTTTGTTATGTCAGCAGGGTATTTCTCAAGCGGGATCGGCATCAAAGAGCACTCAGAACATCTGTGATGCTAGCGAATACATCACAGACGTCACGGGTGGTCATGTAAAATCTGCATGACAAGTTGTAGCCTTCCAGACCCAGACATATTTGCACCGGATAGTGGGAAAGCCGACATGAGTCGGGAACTTTTCCAGCGCGGTCCGGTCGGGGAACGTTTCGCGCAAGAGCTGCCGGTATGCATTGCAAAAATGTCAGGAGTTTGTCATGCAGATTTTGCATGACCGCCCATGAGGTCTGTGATGCATGCCCTCGCATCAGAGATTTTGCGAGGGCTTTCTGATGCTCATTCCGCATGAGAAATGATCTCTCCGCGTAGCACAAATTTTTACACCTCTTTTGTTGTTCATGCAATACAGATTTTATGCAGAGTCCAAAGGTAGCATCACAAGTTCCAACCTTCCAGACCAAGACATATTTGCAATGCATATCCGGAAGACGCTTTTGACGGACTGGTGGTGGGATTCCAGAACGGTCGGCCGGTGCATCGACGTCGTGTACTTCAGCGGGCAGCTATCAAAAGGAAAAATCCACCCTCCCAAGATCGAAAACGAAACTTGTAATGCTGTATTAATTTGAGTACACCAATCGACTTGTATTCCTAGAAGGCCAAGGGCCGCAGTTGTGGCCTCGTTTGCAAGCAATTTGTCATGCTGGTTGTCGCTTCCAGCTGTCTCCTGTCATGCTGAAGATGCAAGGCTTTGTTCCCACGCAGCCCAGTACTACAGTCCGCATCTTTAATATTCCCCTTCTGGCAGGACCAAGCGGATTTGTGGCCGCAAATCTGCATCACAGATTTGCGTTTTGATATGGGGACGAAGGGGCATTTTTCATAGTAACAGCATCCAGGTTTGGAAACCACCAGTACCAGGTATCATATGGAAAAACGTCCCCACCCCAGAGTTGTCACGCAGAATTGCATTGACGAGGACATTTGTGATGCGCACACCCACGGTAGCCATTTCCAGTCGTGTTTTGGAATTTGTGATGCTGTGAACAGGATAAGCATATGGATCTGGTGTGATGCGGCTGCACTTGCTAACCTGCACTACACTACGGAATGCAATTTGTCATGCGTGACGTCCAAGGCTCCTAGGTTTGTGTTGCAAAATACCCATCTTGACTCTGGTGTGGGGACGTTTTTACTCAGGATACCAGGCCGCACTCGTGGGTATGTGTGGCAAAAGCATATCGCACCATTTGAAATCATTCGTCCATCTCATTTTTGCAAATTTGTCCTGCACGACAGATGCAATTTTTTATAACGCTGCCTTCATTTTTTTAGTCCAGGGCTAGGAAAGAGATTTTTGTTTTTCATGTTGGAGCACTGGGATTTATGCGACTGCGATCATGCTTTTGCATTGCATTGTAAACGCGTTCCAGAGATCGGGGGCGGACCGCGTTGTTTTTCCACCGGACGGTGTAGTTGACCGTGCAACACTCATCGCAAACAGCATCACAAACAGCCCCAGAAGTGGCACGACGACGACCACAGGAACGACGGCAGATGGTGAGACCAGGAAGAGCATGAATGCAAGAAGCCCAGGACGTAGTGGTTCTACACACCACGACGGCCCCCGTGAAAAGCAGCAGTTCCAACCGGCGGCGCGGAGTTGCACACAGGGTCGTCGTGCAGTGGATGTGAATGTTGATGGAGATAAGCAAGAACCAGTTCCACAGATCATGATGGACCACAGCAAAACATCAAACAAATCACCCGCTCAACTTCCTCCTCCACTCTCCAGCACCGTATGGAAATCCGCTTACTTCGCGGAGCAGACCGCGCGAACGGAAAAAATTACCGCGTCGTTCCGGAAACCCTACCCTATCAACTGCAAAAATGTCTGGGTCTGGAAGAATTCAAGACTTGTCATGCAGGTTTTCCATGACGCGTGAGGTCTGTCATACATGACCCAGCATGACAGATTCTCCTCGAGCTCTATCATGCCTCTTCTGCATGAGAAACTCCCTCTCAGCTTGGTCAAAAGTGGACAGCTTTTGGTAATCATGCAACACAGATCCTTGCACTATCCAGAATTAGCATGACAAGTTGGATTCTTCCAGACCCAGACATATTTGCAATGCATATACCCACCGAACCACCCACGGCCGCCGGGTGTGACGCCCGAGGTTTTCAGAACTTTCTGCGACTTGGGGAGGATACGAGTAGAATTTAAAGACGCGATTTTTCCACGATATACCGGTTATTCACCGACGCGCACTCTCTTACAAGAGGTGATGCGGGGAGAAGAACACAAAAATGAGCCAGACAAGACCTCTATCAAATGCAAAAATGTCTGGGTCTGGAAGGGTGCAACTTGTGATGCTGCGTTTGGATTCCAAAAAAATCTGTATTGCATGAGCAGCAAGGGTATGAGTGTCTTTTTTCTACGGGAAGAGGACATTTGTCATGCGGAATAGGCATCCGCATCCAGAAGCCCTCAAAAAATCTCTGATGCTAGGGCATGCATCACAGACCACATGGCTCATGCAAAACTTGCATGACAACTCTCAGAATCTTCCAGACCCAAACATTTTCGCACTTGATAACCTCTCCCGCAGCGGTCTTCCCGCCCGTGTGGAACAACGGCCGCTACACAACGGATGTGGCCGCGATAGGTGCAAAGAGGATGATCGGCGGTAATAAAACCACGACACATGATCAACATCAATTAGAACCGGGCGGAGCAACCAGCAGAAGTGTACGACAGGCCTCCACTTGTTCTTCTCAATCCAGGTTCAAGTGGCCAACCGGTATCGTCAGTCCGGAAAATGCGCAGGAACTTTACCGGGGACTCTTTCTTCAAGAGCCTGAATCTTCAGCAGGAGGCGTAGCAGGTTCTCCCGGAGGAGGTACAGCGCCAGCTATAATTGGCGATCTGGCTACTTCTCCCCGACGGTCCTCTTGGGCGGCAGTGCAACTCTCTGATGATGAGGAGGAGGAGGATACCAGCCCTGAGTCTTCATCTGCAGCTCGACGGCAATTCATTCCGGCGGAAACAAAGAATGCAATTGCAAGCCCATCAGCGACCCGCACCGACAGAGCCCCACTTCATATCTCAACGGAGAGCAAGAATCCCAAAACCTTGACGTGCCACATCACCGGCTCTTTCGGATTTTCCGGGAAAGAGTTCCAGTTAAAATACCCGGGATTGCGTCTGGATGGAAGGAAAGGCCTCTCTATCCTGTGTAAAAACGTCCCAACCCTATAGTCAAGATTGGGATTTTGCAACACAAACCTCGGAGTTTTGGAAGTCGCGCATGACAAGTTGCACTCCGTAGTGTAGTGCAGGTTAGCAAGTGCAGCCGCATCACAGATCCATCTGCTGATCCTGTTCTCAGCATCACAAATTCCAAAACACGACTGGAAATCATGTCTACCATGGGCATGCGCATCACAAATGCCTTTGTCATTGCAAATCTGCATGGTAACTCTGGAGTGGGGACGTTTTTCCTCAGGATACTCTCGCTGCGGCGCATCAAGCGGGACATTGCGGTCCAGTTGTGTGGGCGTCCAGGGTACGCAGTGCAGAAGTGTCGTACTCGTAAGGGGAAATCGCATTACAAATGAGCTCAGCAGGATGACAAATGGAATTTGTAATGCTGATTTAGCTCAAGAGTATGGTCTGCACCCGTCATGCAAAATTCCGCAATAATTAGAATTAGGATTAGTTACGAGTACGATATTTTTGCAACGCATACAGACGTCTTTTCGCATCTGCAAATTCTCGACATGAAAATCTACGACCCTGTTGCATCCTCGCCACCGTCGTCGCCGCCCCTTTCTCCAGCTGCCGGCGACTCGTTGGCGCCGGAGTTTTTGCTGATAAGACGGCAAGATGAAGCTGCAATGGAGTTGACAGAAAATACTTCTTCCCCAGGAGCCACGACCGATGGTGATGGGCTCGCGGACCACGACAAGACGAGATTAATAGAAACACCGGCTGCGAAGATGAAGCCAGTAGTTTTGCAAGCTTTTTTGTCCTCCGGGGCGGCAGTTAATCCTGGTTTCAGCCCACCGTTTCAGTTTCCAGTGCCGGACGTGCGGGAAGTACAGGATAGTGGTGGCGACGAGGAGGATAGTTTGTCCGATCCTGCTGAAAGAGTTGTGCATCATGATGATCGTGAAACTAAGAACTCGTCCGGGGGGCCAGCAACTGCCCCCCACCAACCGCGAAGTAGAACACCGGCAGAGCTGCGACCCACCGTGGCTGCGCCCGCACCTTCCTCCGCGAAGCCAAAAGACGCTTGCGTCACGACCTTCGAAAAGGCGCTGGAAGCGAAGCAGGCACGACTGACGTTCTCCGTGAAGAAAGATGGGAGTGAACAAAAGAGTACTTCTGCTGGAGAGGGAGGACCAGAGCAAGCGCTTCCCCCGGATGAACACGAAATGCTACAAACAGTACCACGAAAGGAAGTAGAAGACCCCGCGCAAGAAAACGAAGACCTTCTGCTCCCGAGACGAGAGATCCACCTGCAACTGCAAGTCATCACGACTCAACGGCTGGAATTAACGCTGTTTGGCCGACGGGTTCCGGACCTGATCACCGTGTGTCTTGGCCTGGCTTCGGACTTTGGAATAGACCATGATTGTAATCTATGGATTGCAAAAGTGTCTGGGTCTGGAAGATAGCGAGATTTGTCATGCTAGTCTCGCATGACCAAAAAGTTTGTGATGCGTGTCCAAGAAGAGACCCTTTTGCCTGTCATGCAAAAACGCAGTTTGTCATGCGAAAAACGCAACACAATGAAGCGCAGACGTTTCTCAACATGCTTGGCTGTGCATCACAGAGCATTTACTATTCCCAGCGCAGCATTACAAGTTTCAAGACCCAGACATATTTGCATTTGATATAATCCGGGAAAGAAGATCAGGATGAAGAAGCCACAAGCACTGCGGCTGGAAGAGACGCGGGCAGCGCCGGCGGGAGGGGAAGAACAGAAACGAACGGAAGCAGAAGAAGCAGAAAACACGCGTGGTGGTCAACAGCATCTTGAACAACCACCACCACCGCCGCGGATACCACCACCGCAGCGCATTCGGAAAACCACCACCGCCGCGGATATTCTGGCGGCCTCCGGGAAGAAAGGGTTGTCCCCGCCTACAAGTAAAACAATTAGCGAGTTGCCGGCGGGGGTGAAGTATCCTGTGCAAAAGTATCGCACTCGTAAAAATGCAAGTCTTGCATTACAACTCTTCTTCTTAAGGTAAACCCGCATTACAAATTTTATTTCTCATGCTGAGGAAATTTGTAATGCATTTATACGAGTACGATACTTTTGCAGTTCATATCAAGGGGAAGAACTTCTACTGTGTTGAAGTGGACGAGGTGATGTGGTGCGAAATTCCACTGAATGGCGAATTTGCGGACCAGAGGTTCAGCAGTGCGGACGGGAGTAGCATCAACACGCGTTATGGGGTGCCGTTAGTTTTCGATGGGTTGACAGACCATCCGGGAGCGCGGAGTACGGAGAAGAAGAAGAAGATTCTGGCTTGATGGATTCAATTGGCATGACAAACTGCCATAGTTTCAACCTGATCGGATTAATGATGATGTTTTTGACGTTCATTGGGATCCAGATTTACGCATGACAAACCAGCACCCGTCTGGGTACGCTTTTGCATTCTGATTGCACTTTTTCTTTTTCTATTCGTGCGTCTAATTGCAACTGCATGACAATAAACTTGGACGACAGCCAGAATTTTTCTACTTGATACAAGAAGCTTCTCTGGAGGAGCACGACGCAGTTATCATGTGAAAGGAAGGGCGACGCACAACACGGTTGTCATGCGGAAACGAGATTGTCAGTTATACGAAATAATCTCGGTGATGTGTCTCCGCATGACAAATCTTATGTGCTATTGCTGCTTTGTTTCGACTTCATAATGGTCGTGGTGCACACGGACGGTACGGAGTCGCATATCAAAAACAAAAATAACTGGGTCCTGATCGAAGTCGCAATGTTGTCATGCTAGGTCAAGGTGAAAACAGAAAGTTGTCGTGCATGGACACCGAATGTTCTTCATTTTTCTAATGCATAATCCGTATTCATCAAAATCAGACTCAGAGGCTGAGCGTGCATGCCAAACCACCTTACTGGTCGCGCAGAAGGCGCTGCGTCAAAAACATGCGTCTTCCCCCCAGAAGGATCCAGACCAGTTCTCACTGCATATCACGAGTGGTGGTGCAGCTCATGAGGGTGAGGCGGGATGCGTTCAGCCGGACTACGCAGGTCGGCGCGTTTTAGAAGAACTTTTTCTTCCGACACAACAGTGTCCAAGCTGCAATGGCTTTACACCAGTGAACAAAACTACCTTTTCGAACCTAGCGAAGGTGTAGAAGGAGAACGCAATTGAGTCCAAGCTGTCCATGATCTCGAGAGCCAACTCATGAAATCATCTTTTGAAAAATTGAAGTACGTCCTCGCAACCGGCGGAAACTTTGTGACGAAGAGACCAGGTGGGGCACGCAACCGTGCTTCTACGCATATAGACTTCTGCGTCATTGTGAGTACGTACGTGGTGCTGAGTGCGCTTATTTTTTCACAGAGAGTTGTTGTCACAGCTACTGCAATGTTGACAGAGGGGTTATATTGATGCACCACAACTACAGGAGCGTCAAGGAAACGTCTTATCTTCCTTGTCGAGCGAAGGAAGAGAGGTGTTGGAGGTGTTATCGGAGGGTTTGGAGAAACTGCTAAATATGGAAGACAAAATTTATCATGGATTTGCGAACTTCATCTAGCAAAACCTGATGACCGGTGCGGACATCGACATTCAGCCCGACGGTCGCGCGCCCGTCTTTCGACTCCGAGCCGGCCGGAGTGGAATCGTATGCACTGCCGCGTCTTGCTGCGCGTTTGCGGGTTCCCCTTCCCAACGACTTACGTGGGAACAATCCCTGTGCCGCCCGTTGGTCCAGATGTGCTTGGGGATGGTGGTTCAGGCTCCGGAAAAGCCGGCTCGGACGCTGCGAGGTCAGAAGACATTGCGGGGCCTCGGTTGTTCTCCCACCGCCGAAGTGCAGTGCGTGCAGGATCTGGCGCTGCGGTCCTGCCACGTTTTCAACGGCATCCACCTGTCGGAGGGGGGGCACACGCTCCGCAAGGCTGTGCGGGATTTGCCGCCGGGGTTTCCCAGTTTTGAAAAGCTGGCGCAGCGGGCTGAGACGTTCGAAGCGGACAACACGCGCAAGCGATGCAGACCGCTTTGCGTAACAAAGCCGCAAGGCAGGCACCGGAAGAGGAGGGCGCGGCCTTGTCCGCCCGGCGCGCCCGCGTTCGAAGCGGAGGGGGGCCAGCCGCGGGAATCCAGCGGCGCGAGGGACAGCGCGCGCGCGAGCGCCCCGCGGTTCTCACATGCCCGGGGCGCCGAGACAGGCACGGGGGCCCACTTGCAGGCCAGGCCGGCCCATCTGAAGCAGGCCCGCCACCCCCTGCGGGCACTCAGGGGCCGCGGGCCCCGTCGAAGCATTTGTACTGCGGCCCATGATCCGCTTAGCCGTAGCACGTGCGGCATGCGCGTTCAGGCGCAGGGCGTTTTTGCCACCCTCGCCGCTGCCGCAGGCTAGCATGTTGCCCGCCGGCCTGTCGTTGTCATTGCGCGCTCTTTTCTTGGCGTTTAGGCGTCACGGCTTGAATCATTTTTCCGTACCTGCTGCGCGTCGCTGCTGTGCACTTCTCACAGTCACACCTGGCAGCGCACAGAATGGGCGACGAGATTTTTCTCTCGGACGGTATGGGCGTTTCTGTACATCTACTTCGAGCGATGGCCAAACAATCAGTGTGGAGGTGTAGACGAGATCCCACTTTCAGTGCGACCGAGGGAAGAAAGATGAGTGGGCGGAAAAAGGAAGAGCTGGCTGTTGATGTTACAAAAAGCTGTGAGTTGATGAATGTGTTGGACTGTGCTTATTCTCTCACAGAGAGCTGTCACAGGAGCTACTGCAATGACAGAGGGATTATATTGATGCACCACAATTACACGAGCGTCAAGGAAACGTCTTATCTATAATCTTCCTTGTCGAGCGAAGGAAGAGAGGTGTTGGAGGTGTTACTAGAGGGCTTGGAGAAAATGCTAAATATGGAAGACAAAATTTATCATGGATTTGCGAACTTTTAGCAGAACCCAATGTCGGCGGACATCGACACTCAACTCGACGATGGTGCGCCCGTCTTTCTACTCCGAGCCGGCTGGAGTGACACCGCATGCGCTGCCGTGTCTTGCTGCGCGTTTGCGCAGGTTGATGCGGGTTCCCTTCCGTGACTCGAGTCCGAACTTGCCACCCTGAGCAGAGGCGCAAATCGGTTCGCCGCAAGGCAGGCCCATGCGCGTGAACACCAGGCACGCCTCTCTGCCGCAAGGCAAACCAAAGCGCGGCGCCATCGCTGAGCATTTGGCGAAAATGCGGCGAGCCGGTCGCAAGGGTAACCCCGCAAGGTCACCGCGGTAATCCAACAAGGCGAGGGAGGGAGGGCGCGCGCGCTAGCGCCCCGTGGTTCTCAGATGCCCGGGGCGCCGAGACAGGCACGGGGGCCCATTTGCAGGCCAGGCCGGCACATCTGAAGCAGGCCCGCCACTCATTGCGGGCACTAAGGGGCCGCGGGCCCTGGGAAAGTATTTGTATTGCGGCCCATGATCCGCTTGGCCGTAGCACGTGCGGCATGCGCGTTCCGGCGCAGGGCGCTTTTGCCCCCCTCGCCGCTGCCGCAGGCTAGCATGCTGCCCGCCGGCCTGTCGTTGTCATTGCGCGGTCTATTTTTCGTGGCGTTTGAGTGGCACGGGTTGAGTCATTTTGTCGCACCTGCTGGCCGCTGCTGTGCACTCACAGTCAGTCACACCTGACAACGCTCAGAACGGGCGACGAGATTTCTCTCTCGCAACTGTGCAAGCGTTTCTGTGCATCTACTTCGAGCGATGGCCAAACAATCATTGTGGAGGTGTAGGCGAGATCCCACTCTCAGTGCGACCGAGGGAAGAAAGATGAGTGGGCGGAAAATAGAAGAGCTGGCACTTGAAGATGTTACAAAAAGCTGTGAGTTGATCATGTGTTGGACCGAGGACGAGAAGAGAGCTACAGATAAACACTGCGGCAGCGACCAAAAGCGGAAGGGATCGCTCATCATTACCTCATCCTGATATCAGCATTGCGGAACTTCTGCAAACGGCTCTTCCGCCACTCTTGGGCCCTGAGGTCGCGGCGGGAAAGAGGACATCTTTCAAGAAGCTGCAAGTTTGTGACGCGGAAGCGGATCGACGAGCCACAGCCAGAGTATTTTTCTCTTTGGGAAGAACAAGACGAGCTTCATGTGTGGCGCGGTACTCCGGCACGCCCCCCCCCGCAGGTGAGACTCGGGTCTGTTTGTGCGCAGCAAGTTTTTCCCGTCCCGTTCCGGGCGTGAGACTGAATCTGCGCGCTTGGTGCCCGGTGCTTCCGCCTTAATGTCGAAAGAAAGCGCCGCAGCCTCAGCGTCGCTTTTTGCCCTGCTGCTGCCCCCCGTCGAGGAGCGGGCGAGGCCTGTCTTAATTACGTCCCCCGGCTGCCGCCGTGGCGCACGGCAGGCTTGCCGGGGTCGAGCATCTGCAGCGGGGCCCCCGAGCCGTCATTGGCCGCAACAGGGCAGCGGCAACTTGCGCCCGTCGTTATTCGGATGCGGCGTCTGGCGCTCCGTGTGCCGCTGCAGCGGCGCGCATTCATGGCATTGATTTTATTATGCGTGGCGGGGGTGGGCCTTTAGCTTTACCTTTCCAACTGCGCCCGTCGCCCGCCGCCCGCCGAAGACGCGCGTTGCCACATGGCCGCGCGCCCGTTCTATGGCGCCGCCGCCTACCGAAGCCTCTGTCTTCAAAAATTCTCAACTGCATTTAACGAACAAGAAGCCGTCAAGGCTCGTCGGTTCTTTCTTTGTGGCAGAAAGCCTTTTATTTTGGCAGTGGCAGTGCCAGTTGTATTCGTTTGCTCGAATCAACGAGAGATGTCCTGGTGGAGAGTTTGTTTGTGGTGCAGAGTGATGTTGTGTTTCCGTTGCGCGCCCCGTCCGCAGCTCCTTGCTGATTTTCGCGACGCATTGTTCAAAGTTCTTGGAGCGGAGTGTCAGTTGAAGAAAATCCTGAGTGTAGCTGCTGAGGAACTGTGTAGAGGCACAGCGTTCATCCTGTTAGTGGGCTAGGGCTGCTTTCCAGACACTGCTGCCTTCATCTTGACAGAGCCGATGTTAAAGAGAAGAGGGACATCACGCAGCGCTGAGGCCGTTTTCAATTTGAGTGATGAGTAACCAACTTTCATAAAGTACTTGGGAGTGAGAAAAGAAGGTCAGGGGCCTTGACGTTAGAAAAGTCCTCCTACTTGAAGAGAGTTGCACACCTGGAAGAGAGCGATACGGCGAGGCCATATTCCGGAACCATGTGTATATTCGATGCAATCCTTGGACTCGATGATGAAAAAAAAAAAATCTAGGGCAGTTTATTCATCGATGGCCGCAGACCGAAGTCTCTGCCGTTTCGGCCAGCAGGCGACTCTACTCTTACCGCCGCGCCATCGCGTTGACGCCCGGCCGCGGGGTCGGCCAGTTTCGGCGGGGCGGTGACCACGGTGGTAAGTGCGGCGGCGACGCAGGTGGTGGCTACGAATGCCGACGACCGGCGGCCGCCCCCCGGGGAGAAACGGACGGCGCCGGTGTTAAGCCGCCGGCAGGTTGGCTGGGGTCGAGCACCTGGACCGGGCTGCGGGGCCGCGCCGGTGTCCCGGAGCCGGCACTGGAGGCCGTGCAGCAGCCCGTTCTGCAGCGCGTGACGGCTGTCACGTCCATCGCCAAGGCCTTTGTGGAGGACAGCTTGGGGAGCGGTGGGCCAAGTCTTGAGCGGAGTGCGCTGCAGTTGGTGCGAGACTTCCCGGACCTGCAGAGGGCGATCGGCGGGGCGGCCGGTTGCCGCCCCCCGTCGAGGAGCGGGCGGCGCCTGTGTTAATTTTGTCACCCGGCTGCTGCCGTGGCGCGCGGCAGGGTTGCCGGGGTCGAGCACCTGCGGCGGGGCCCCCGAGCCGGCATCGGCCACGACAGGGAAGCGGCGTCGTGCGCCCGTCGTTATCCGGATGCGGCGTCTGGTGCTCCGTGTGCCGCTGCAGCGGCGCGCATTCATGGCATTGGTTTTATTAAGCGCGGCGGGTCGAAGTGTCGCCTGCCGCCCCGCCGACGACGCGCGTTGCCACATGGATGTCGCTCGGGGCACCATGTCTGATATGGCCGCGGGCCCCTTCTCTGGCGCCGCCGCCTACCGAAGACTCTGTCCTCAAAAATTCTCGACTGCATGTAACCAACAAGAAGCCGTCAAGGCTCGTCGGTTCTTTCTTTGTGGCAGAAAGACTTTTATTTTGGCAGTGCCCGCATTCGTTTGTTCGAATCAACGAGAGATGCCTTGGTGGAGAGTTTGTTTTTGGTCCAGAGTCGTGATGTTGTGTTTCCGTTGCGCGCTTCGTCCGCAGCTCCGAGTCCGAGTTGACCGAGAGACCTAAAGAGCTTCCGCTCTGCCGAGATGCACAGTGGAATGCTATAATGCGGCATCAAGAGGAACAGTAGCAGCACCAGCAGCAGCAACCTGAGGCTCAGGTTGAGACTCGGTTGCACTCGAGAGCGCCGATGATCGCGGGCTCAAAAACAACTGCGCGGTTTGCAAGCCGTGTCAAGCTGACAGAAGCCACGGGACGCAAGCGGCGCATGTACCGGAAACGGCGCGAGAGCTGCGGCTCGGCTTCAGGGGCTGAATTCCTTCTCAGAAACCACCAGGCCGCGCACCGGCCCGGGAAGCCGGCGCGCTGCTCGGGCGCCGCGAAGCGAGAGGCCCCGGCAGAGAATGGCAGGTCGCGCGGCGCGGGGCTTGTATTCGAAGCGGCAGCGCCCTGGCGCAGCGCAGCCTCGTGGAGGTGGGGGGCCTCACGCGTTGCGCACGTATCAGAAGTCGCCTCGTGCCGTGTTGCTGAATGGCGCCGCTTTCCGGCGGCTTTATCACGGGCGCGGGTCTGTACCTGTCTCACCTGCTGGCGCGTCCAAGACGCCCGTGCGCTACCGTGCGCCACCCGGGGCGAGTAGTCTACGGCCCGCTGGCCTGCCTAGCCCCTCCACCTACCGAGGTCCGCGCATTCATCTTTACGGCATTTACCAAGCAAAAAGCCATCAAGAGGGCTCGTCGGTTATATTTCTTTCTGGCAGAGAGGCTTTTCGTCAGTCGCGGTACTTGTTTGTTCGAATTAATGACCGAAGTCGTGCTCCTTTTTTGTTGTTGCGAGCCGCACGAGAGAGTTGTGTTTTATTACCAGTGTGTTATCCGCAGCTCCGCCTTCGAGTCCGAGTTGATCGAGAGGAAGGTTTTGAGCTGTTCGAGGATTGCTGTGATGAGTGATCAAAAGCGGTGAAATAAACCTGAGAAAAAATGTGACCCCCCAATGTTAAACCGTCTGAACAAAGGCAGGAAGGCCGCACCATCATCGATTCGTTTCTTCGTCAGAAAGAACGAACTCGTGCATGTGCAAGCAATTTTAGTATTTTCCCGTCAAAAAACCGCAGATTGAGATTTCGAGTTGGATTTCAATTTCAATTCCCTTTCATTTTTCCAAACTAGAACCACCTACCACACAGGGTCGAATAGATGATATAAAGAAGTCGTCATTTGCCAAAGCTACTAACGACTTTTATTTCCGCGGACAGTCGAACTGTAGAATTACATCTGTTCGCAGAGCAACTTGTTGTGGAAGATAGCTCTGGCCGCACACGACGTCAGCGTATCCCGGATCTAGCGTGACCGGGTGGACGAATCTATTGGACAGCTTCTTAAATCAGGGTTGCCGGAAATCCTGTACGTCGTACCCTTCGAACAAAGCCGAGCCCCGTGTCCTACTTCTACTGCAGGGCGGTGCGCGCATCCAGCCCCTCAACATCTTCTCCTGAACAACTTCGGAACTTTTCGTGTCCTCCACGCCGGGCGAAATGGCGGAGCGGCCTCCCAACGGGGAAGAACAGCACAGTTCTGGACGCGAGTTGTCCGGCTCCGCGGCAGCCCGACTGTTTCTGAAAGTCCACAAACGACAGCAACTCAAGGACGCGGAGACCGCGGCGCGGGCGAGTGGAACAGCAGCGGCGGATGGGGAATGCGTTGTCGCTGCAAGAAGTTGCTTTGGAACTGCATCGCCCGACATCAATCCACTGGGCAAGTCGCATGAGGAGCAAGACCAGTCCGTCATGTTTCACCAGCAAGAACAGTTGCAAACGGAACTGCAGTACAACCCGCCGTTGCGGCGGGAAAACGCTTCGTCGAAGACCAGCTCGTCCGGGAGCCGCGGCGATACCCTGAGCACAGGAACAGCGCAAGAGAATACCGGCCCGTCCAACAGTAAGGAAAACAGTACCTCCGAAGATACTGCTGGCGGGACTGATGCTCTTGTCCTCGACGAAGGCCATTTTCAAGTGGCAAACGTTCCGAGAAACGACCAGACGGCGCCCTTGCTACGGTTGCACGCTGCTGGAGCTCCTGCTGGATCCGAGCGGGTTCGCTCCGAGCTCCTGCTGGACCACAAGTTTACTCCCTCCTCCTCATCTTCCTCTTCATCGAGCGGTGTTCGCGGAGGCGGCGTGGAGGTATCATGTGTCGCTGGCTGCGAAGTATCAAATGCAAATATGACTGGGTCTGGAAACTTGTAATGCTGGGTTGGGAATAGCAATAGAAATAGTGAATGCTAGCTCTGTAATGCACAGCCAAGCGTGAGAAATATGAATACATGCGCTGCTTAGTGTTGCGTTTTTCGCAAGACAAGCTGTGTTTTTGCATGACAAGCACAAGGGTCTCTTCTTGGACACGCATCACAAACTGTTCAGTCATGCCAAACAAGCACGACAAACCTTGGAGCCTTCCAGATCCAGACGTATTTGCATTTGATACGAAGTCGTTCCGGAGGGGGATCCTGGTCTACTCCCGGTTAGCAACGAGCTGCCACCAATACGGGTCGTGGAGAAGCGGCACTCGCAACAGCCGGCAAGCGGCAGCAAATCCGCAATGCAGCAGGATTATGGCGATGATAAGGCGGCCGCGGCTTCGGGCGGGTTTTTTCCAGCACAACTCGCGGAAGGCAACAAGTTTTGGCAGCAAAATTCGTCCACGCCGAGATTTTCGGCGCTTGCGGGAAAGCCGTCTACGGACGCACAGAACGATCCCCAGGTCATGGGCATACGCGAGTTTATCGGCGAAGTCGACAACGATAGCGAGGGGGGAAAGGATGGTATAGCGTTACTGGGTTTTTTTGATGATAACAATCACTGTTGTTGTAAAAGTTCGATGCTTGTGGAAGTGAAGATGCCGAGACCTCTTGTCTTCACTCACCATCGCAAGCTGAAGTGGCGCTTCGCGTTTGGTCATGCGGAATTCGTTCTGTGCGCTGAGTGCCCAGTTTGTAATGCTGATAGTTAGCGACTCAAAAATGAGTCTATCTGGACTCGTTTTTGCAGTGTCCGCATTATGTGCAGTTTGTAATGCTGACACGGACTCAAAAAAACGAATTCGAGTCGCGTTGGACTCGTGTCTGCGTAGGTTGGAAGTTGTGTCGCACTCACTTTTGACTTGCTGTACCAATGGAGCGAGTTGAAGGGGCAACATGATCTCGCACTTGATCACATATCACAATCATGGTTCTCAGGTTCCGCTGTAGTTGCCCTTGCTCAGGAACACCAGCGGCCGGCTTTGCCCCCAAGCGGTCCAGAGTGCTACCCGCCGCAAAATGCGCTGCAGCATAACGGAATCGACGAACAGCAGAGCAGTGGCAGCAGTAGCATACCGACGCTATCGCGTCGCCCCGCTTCGGTACCTCGTCAAAACATGCCAACTCCCTGCAGCGCCATGCGTACTGTATTTGAGCTAGAGCTTCGCTGTGTGATGAGAAATCTACTTCGAGCGCCGGCATGATGATTTTGTCTCGTTGCGCGGGCGCCCGTTCTCGCATCACTAGTTAGCTTCACTATGGGACGACATCAATGTTCAGACTTTAGTTATGGTGTATGGGGGAGGAATGACGATTTTTTTTTCTGATGCGCCGACTCGTCGTCGCGGCAGGACCACAATAATCCCCAGGGACACGGCGACGACGACCCCATTTTTCCTCCAGGCTTGGGTTGGACGCAACGCAAAAATCTTGTGGCTCTGCAGGTGAGATGAACTGTTTGGCTTTAACTTTATTTATCAGTACAACAGAATAAATGATTGCGATGAAGCGAGATGTAAATGTCTTTGTCTCCTTTTGTACTTGTATGATCATGGGTGCAGGTGCAGCCTGGATGACAACACCAAAACCAAAAGTTGCCGGTGAAGATGCGCGTTTCAGAATTACTTGTCGATCCAAAATAAATTGAGGTGAACAACGGTCTTCGAGCTCCTGAGGTGCCTTTGCCGAACGTGCCGGCCGTTGTTGCTAATGCTGCTCTACTGCCTGAGCCTGTCGCCGCCGGGGCCGCACCGGCACCTGCGCCGGCCATGCCAGATCGGAACGTGCGTCCCGTACCGCCCCAGGATTCATTTGCTCGTCCCCTGAACTACCAGCTGCCTAGCAACCACCCGCTGCGGCAGAACCACCAGTGTCCACCGCCGGGGGCCCACCAGCCGATGCCGATGGTCGGAGACGGTGGGACGTTGAACAACGCGGGTGGAGTTGTTCCCGCAGTCGTCGTCCAGGAGAACAACGGGCAGAACGGTATGAACTGCATAATATCTTCCCTGGATGTCTGGAAGATTGCAAGTTTTGTCATGCTAGTCTGGCATGACTCTGAACTCTGTATTGCATGCCGGCGAACTAATAGAAGTCTCTTGTCTGTCATGCAAAAACGCGGTTCTTATTGTGATGCGGAGTACGCAACTCTTAGCCACGGAAAAACTTGTCATGCTGGGGAGCGCATTACGGTGTGCTCACTATTCCCTTTTTTGCATCAGAAGTTTCTAGACATCCAGGGATATTTGCAATGCATAAACGTGGTGGAAGATCATGAACAGGTACAGCATGAAGGACTTCCTCCCGGTCCTGTGCAGCCAAACCTCCCATCCCGTCCGTTTGACAAGATCCGCGCTTTGCTCCACGATGATGCTGCGCCGCGGAACCACGGGGGGCTCGACGGGGTTCTTGATGCAAATCGTGCACCTGCTGCAGCGGCTCCTATCCCCAATGCCATCGCGCCGGCTGCCGGCCGCGACCACAGAGTATCAAATGCAAATATGTCTCGGTCTGGATGTATCCATGGATTTTTCATGCTAGATTGGTATGACACGAAGCTTTGTATTGCGTGGCTACGAAGTACAGCTCCTCTGGTCGCCTTTTTCATGCGGAATACGGAACACAGAACCACGGAGAAATCTGTCATGCTTGGTGCAGCATTCCTCCAGGGAGCTTACGACTCACTGACCTGCATCACAAATGTCCAGACCCAGCAGACATATTTGCATTTGATACAGAGTGCTGTGGGAGGACGATGACGACGCCGCGGACAACTACCCGCGTCCGGATCGATACGACGACCTAGAAGACGACAGCATCCTGCTCCCCGACTACGGACCCGCTGACATCCGCGTGGGGGCAGTGCTGGCCCGCGGAGGCTTCGGCGTGGTGTACGAGGGGGAGCTTCTGGTGGGTAGTCCGGATGGTTTACAGCGGCTCTCGCACCTGGAAGGCCAGGAACGCGGCGTAAAGCAGCTCGCGTTGAAGCAGCACGCGGACGACAAGCGGGGCGTAGGACGCTGGTTTCGCGACGAACTGGAGATCGCGCAGGAGATCAACCGACTCGGCGGTAATGCGGCGATTCTGCGCGCCCACGGAAAGTTTGTCGACGCAGAGGAGAACGCGTACATTGTGCTGGACCAGTTTCCCACCGGGAACCTCGCGGAACTCATCGCCACGAAAAGCACCGACGTGTCGATGGAGCGGCGGATCTCCATTTTGCTCCAAATTGCAGACGCGGTGATCTTATGCATTGCAAAAGGATCGTACGAGTTAGTATGAATTGCATTACAAATTCATAATTTCGGAGGAACAAAAATGCTTTTTGTCATGCTATTTTAGGTAGGAAATTGAATTTGTCATGCATATTGGCAATGATAACGAGTGCGATATTTTTGCAGAGGATAAGCATTCCTGCACACGCACAGCATAGTGCACCGCGACATCAAGCCGGAGAACATTTTGATGACGAACGAGTGGTCTTTATTCTGAGCAAAAACGTCCCCACCCCAGAGTCAAGATGGGAAATCTGCTAGGCAAATCAACCATCTTGGTCTGTTTCGCATGACAAGTTTGTCCTCGTATTGCTTTTTTTAATAATCCTGTTTATTTTGATAGCTAGCCCAGCAGCATCAGGTTCAGGCATGCATATTTGCATGACAACTCTGGTCGTGTGGGAATATTTTTACTCAGGATAGTCCCCGCTGCTCGGCGACCTCGGACTGGCGTGCAAGGTGGACGGGACGAACCACCAATTCGACGAGGGATTCTGCGGTACGCTCGGCTGGTCATACGCGGACTACGGCGGTTGGCAACTATGATGGTAAAAATAAAAAAGTCGTGTTTAGTGTGACGCTGTGATGCAGAGCTGTGTACTCGAACAATTTTACGATTTGTTATGCCAGACACGCATGAAGTGCTCTTCCTTTTGCTTTTCATCGTATATTTTCTTTCTATTCTACTAGCTGTGCATAACGGAGACTGTCATGCGGAGGAAGTTTGTCATGCTGGGACTCGACGAAGACAACCACAACTACACTATACACAACTTTGTTTCCCTTGCATAGAAGCCCCCCAGGAGCTACTACCTCGACGAATATTCCGTCGCGATGCTGGCGGGGTGGCTCGTAAGTGAAGAAAAACCGCGGGGGAAGCCGCAAACACCGATTGCGGGATTCTTGAAGAGGATCAAACCGGTGGTGGCCTGGGACCCGCTGTTTGCGTCGTTCCTGCTCCGCTCGGCAGAACTCCTCGTCAAGGACCGGCTGACGCTGACGGAGCTGCAGCCGGACCTCGCGCTCCTGAGAGACGGAATCAACCCCGACGAAGTACACGTCTACCGGCTGCTGCAGAATGCGGGGCTGCCATCGGATACTGTTGAGGACCACCATCAGAGGGTGAGGTTTTTCAACCAGGTGCTCAACCGCGGCAACAAGCGACAACACGGGGACAACGCCGCAGGGAAGATCAAGCCGGCGAACGTGAGGAACTATGCAAGAAAAATCATGCGGCGACTGCGGCCCGACGAAGACCGCGAACCGCTGGAGAATGACGCGCAGGCAGAGTAATGTGGTGGCGGAGGGGGAAGGTGCAGTAGGTCTGCACTAGCGGCGGGATGGCGGGGGTAATGTCGTGAGTGGGCAGGAGAGTGAAGAACGGCTTCCTGTTGTGTATGATAAGGTTGCTGTGTATGATCGATATTTTATCCTATTCAGTTTGAAGATGATAAACCATAAATTGATGACAAGTCGTGTTTAAAAGCGTGATTGGCTGAAGATCAATTTTCAAAAGGATGAATTTCTAGACGAGAATCATGTAATGAATTTTGTAACTCAAAAACAAACACAAAATAAACCGATAATGAATGTAGTTTATTGCTGATGAATAGCCGTCCAGGTAGAAGTAGAACTACTTACCAAAAAGAAAACCAAAATTCACACTTTGCTTGTAATTTGTACCCTTCTGCGCAAAAGGAGCAATCTTCCACTGCTGCGGAGGAGATTCAAAATGGTGCCGCAGTTGCATTTGCGCATCATTTCTACCTACAAGAGAACTATTACCAGCACCCGGTTCGATTTACCCTAAATTTTCCTCGGAATGGAACAAACACTGCTGACATCACAGCAAGCGGATTTGCACAGAGCAATCGAAATTTTCCCCACATTATTTTAGAACCATTTTTCTGATCGTGTTATTTTTGAAACCTAGCGATTTACATTTACTGGAGTCCTATGGGATTGAGATTCCCCGTGCGACGGTGACGTTCGAAGAGGATCAATTTTTCTACCTGACCAATTTTGTCGAAGATTTTCTATGCAGTTGCAGCTAAGCATATGACGTTTTCCATATTTTATTGAACGCACCACTACCGTGCCAACTGGATCGGAATACACCACCAGTTTACACCAGTTTCAAGAAGTGAACAGAGAATATAGCAGCGATTTTGAGATACAAACCAGATTTCAAGAACGTCACATGCAGGATGGGAAAGTTTGGGGATATACGGCCTGTCAGACACTACGCCTTGTCCCAGAAGCTTTTCTGCATCTCGCACAGATTAATAAAATGTTTTTTTGCACAAAAAATTGTGACTGAGAAATAAAAAATATGTTGTTTCTGAGGCACCGGCGGGCACTGATCGCCTGGCTTGTTGATACTGCTCGATTGTTTATGGTGTTCGTCTTCGTCTCGCATTTGATTTTTATGGGTTTCGTCTTCGTCTCACACGATTTGATTGTGAACCCTTTTCAAAAGAAGTAACGATAAAGCCATGTTGTATCAAGGTCAATGTAAACCGCGCCTGATGCTAGTGATCTTTTGCACGTCACGTAAATGCACAGTATCGTATGCCGTAACTCGTGAAATTTTCTTACGCGTTCGTTCTAGTACCACAGTGAGTAGCGATTGGCGAAATTATTGGCAGCGTACGACGCTTGTGCCAGGGAGTCATGCTGATTCGTACCAATGGCTTGATGGCGCTGCAAAAGCCACAAGAAGGATAGAAGTAGTCGTAGCGGATAATCGCAAGTCGTTGTTGATGTCGTGCACAGCAGAACAGTTCGTGGCACGTAAAAAATGCAACATCGTGCTATCTGCATGTTATTCGTTCGTACGTGAAGGTTGCAGCAAGATTCCAACTTGACGTTCTTCCGAAACAGAACTTGTGCCAGAATAAGTAGTCTCATACATAGTCGTCGTCATGTCCAAATTCAAGGATGTCTTTTTCTTCATGCTATGTTGTCTAATACCGTTCGCGCCCATAATCGCCATCTGAAATTTATTTCTCAAACCAGGTAGTTTTTCTTTTTGTTTTTTTGGTTCCCCCAAGAGTCGGCACTTCGCATACTAGACGCCTCCGCTCCGTAGGAAGAAGTCGTAGTTGCCATTTGATGAAAGAGTCACTCATTCTCCTTAAGCAACAGCATGGTTTTGATGTGCACGCGAAACGTCCAGCGGCGACCAGTTTGGTTGAAAGAATCCTGTGCTGAAACGAACATGCGAGCTTGCAACCCCGTACCAGTGTTTCGCCTCGTCGAGAATGGCATCTCCGGAACAGCAATGCCAGCGAGTGATATCATCAGCGTTCACCGCAACAGCAAGCAGGTAGAGGCGTAGATGTAAAGGCGTAGTTGATACATAAGTACTTACGCCAAAACGAGGACACCGTGCTTCCCCCTCACTGTCCATCGGAGCCGAAAGGGAGCCAATGGTGCCGTTGAGGCTGACGCAGACGATCCTGACCCTGTAATAAGAAAAATCGGAAAATAAAGCGAAAACCGGAAGAATGAGCATCGGGAGCGCTGGCTTTGTAAGATGCCACATTTTCGAGAGCCGACAGAGCAGCCACGAGGACCAAGTGCTTACATCAACTTCTAGTCGCATTTAATCCAAAGTGCAGCACCCACCTCCTCCAAGAAACAGGTGTGTCGACGGAATTTGCGGTATCTTGTACCTGGACATAGAAGTAGAGTAAAACCATTCTCTGGACGAGGCTGTGTTGTTGGGAGCGCGACGTCAGTTGCTCGCCTCATTTGCTGGCTGCAGTTGCCGTCTTCTGAATTTTTCGGAGCAGTAGCAACACGAAAGGCGTATTTTGCGGAAAAAAAACAACCTGTTGCAATTGCAGGTGTGACGAGAAAACGCATAGAGCGGTATTCCATCGTGATCTTCGTCCACGCCGCTAATGTCGACCGTGACTGCACAGCATTCTCGTACGCGGCATCGGGGCCACCTCGCGAACATAGCCAGGTTTTCGAGATACAGACGAACACAGAGGCTGCTGGTAATTTGCCGACGCGTGTGTTGATGACGTAAGGAGTTCGGCGACGAATCTCAACCGGCACAAGAGAAGAATGTTGGTGGACCACCCCCGCCTGCGGAGAGTTGAAGTTGTATCTTCTTGATGTTTCTTCGGGCGGCAAAAGGCTACGGGGTTTCAAGCGCAGCCACTGTGCCAAACTCGACCACCTTGATCGAGGACTTGCTCTTCCAGCGGCCAGTACAGAAGCCTAGAAAGCAGGACTTCCGCATTTTGCACGATAGTACTGGCGCATCAGCAATCTCGACGTTGCAGGCTGTCATGAAAGGAGTAAATACGGTGACGCAAAAGTTGACGGCTCTCCACCCTTCTGAGTTTCGTCGCCGCTGGAGTACGAAAACAGAAACGAATGGCTCTTCAAGGACAGGAGCATTGATTGCGGTCGGGAACGCACGCATGTCAGAAGCGTCGCGATGCTCACAACATCTTCGCAGGACGTGTCTTCACCTCCGACTGTCACTAATCTCACGTTTTCATCACCGCGAATAGGAAGCTTGTACTCCCCCGGCGTTGCCGTTTGTCAGTTAGAACGACACCGGTTGACCAATTCGGATCCAGAGGCGTAGCGGCTGTAGTAGCATACCGGCACTTGAGTAATGCAGCGCTCGTGGGGTCTGACAGACGGGACGCGGTGCCGCAAATCCGATAGGCACACAGACATACCGCCAGCAGCAGCTTCTGCGACGGTGCCACAGTTCAGTAGGCAGCTTCCGCGCGCCCGCACAAACGAGGCGAAAGTAGTTCTGCAGCAGATCAATCGGCGCACTTGCCCTGGTCCGTGTTTCCGGTCCTCTCCCGAGCTGGCACCCTAGCGCACGAGGTCTACGTCCGAAAACGATGTGCCAGTGAAGAACAGGACGTCGTGCAAAATGACCGGCCCCTACCAACGGCTTCTTGTTTTCGAAAACCTTTTACAACAACGAACAAAAGCATGCTGCCCTGTCGATTTTCAGAAGACCCAGATCCTACGAGCAGCAGCCGGGAGTAGCGGCGTCAGCACAAATATCGGCGGCTGCGACAATAGGAGCTTGTAGGGCTGCCTTGACCGGGGGCGACAAAAATAAGAAAAGCTGTTTTTATGCAGAAAAAGAAAAGTGCAAAGAGGCGGTTTCTACGCGGGTCCTGTCCAGGGAGACCCAATCGGCCTCGTGCATCGTTTTGTTGTAGAGCCGCGGCGCTAGCACCACGTCTGGCTCCCCATCTGCCGCGAAGCGGATGTATTCAGAAGAACGAGCGCTGTGCACTCTCAGAACGAAGAAGAAAGAACCATCATCCCGCCTGTTGCAGGATCGATGAATGATAGGAGGAGGAAATCGCAATCCGCCTGGAGTAGATTGCTTTGGAAGCAACACGAACCATCATCCCGCCTGTTGCAGGATCGATGAATGATAGGAGGAGGAAACCGCGATCCGCCTGGAGCAGATTGCTTTGGAAGCAGCAAGAACCATCATCCCGCCTGTTGCAGGATAGATACTTGGAGGAGGAGACCGCAATCCGCCTGAAGCAGATTGCTTTGGAAGCAGCAAGAACCATCATCCCGCCTGTTGCAGGATAGATACTTGGAGGAGGAAACCGCAATCCGCCTGAAGCAGATTGCTTTGGAAGCAGCAAGAACCATCATCCCGCCTGTTGCAGGATAGATAAGTACTTGGAGGAGGGGACCGCAATCTGCCTGAAGCAGATTGCTCGGAAGCAGTGAAAGTAGCCGCCAAGCGATCCCGCCTACCGCAGGGTCGATGATACGAGGAGGCAACCGCAATCCGCCTGGAGTAGATTGCTCGGGAGCAGTAAGAATAGCCGCGAAAACGTTGTACCCCGGCGCGCGGCCAATTGATGACAAGCAGCTTCAAAAGCTAGCAGAGGAAAGAAAAGTCGGCTACTGATGATTATGGTTGACTGCAGCGCAGCATCGTGGTCAAAACTACCTCCAGTAAATACCAAGAGCAATGCAGCAGTAGCCCAGCACGGTGTTCGTCTCCCGAGCCCAGTATCGCAGCTGAGGTGTAGGTCTTTGCTGCTGCCAGCAAAATTGAAGAAGAGTGGAGGTTGCTATGTGCTTTTTTTCAAGAACGAGTCGAATCCTGGAAGACCCTATCTTCGACCTCGTGCAGCGTTTCGGAATCAAATCGACGAGTACTTGTGGCTGCATTTGCACTCCAAATTAATGACGCAACAACCGCACGTACAGGCAGCAACAAGCCACAACAGCAAATCGCCATCCAAAGGAGCGTCGCACCCCGACGCTGAGCCTGCAGGGGCAATTAACGAGCAAAAACTGAAAGAGGAAGCAAAAAAAGAAAAGAAAACAAGCAGGGTAAAAAAAATGTAAATAAAAAGCAAAAGAAACAGAAGTGGCAGCTGATTGGATCATGCCAAGAAGAGACATCGTAACTTCGGCAACATTTATGTGTGTTCTTTTCGTGCGAAGCTTCAATAAATTTGCATGAAGTAGGTGGGGGTGAAGAAATACTCGGTGCGTGGTCTACCGCAAATCACGGCATTCATGTTGGGAAAGCAAGAAGTGCATGTACGTCAAAGCACGTCACAGCAGCCGCACTCGCACATAAGAGCTCTCTGCATAACTAAATCGTGTTGATGCAGCAACGTCTCGTCTACAAATTATCGTTCTTTTGGTGCAGACACGTATCGTCCAATTCAAATCGTTCATCCGAAAGTTGTCATACAACGGCTTTGTCGTTGTAAAAATTCGTTATTACTTCTTCTCGTTTGGGGCCGAGCTCGAGCATAGAAAGTCAGAGTTTATCGCCCGAGATTCTTCTACGAGAAATTTCCGTCACCATCTTTCGTCTCCGTAAAGGCTTCTAAACTACGTAAAAATCAAACAGGTGCGCTCTTTTTTTTTCAGGCCGGACTTTCTCTGACCCAATTTGGTTCCCCGACGATCGTTCGTTTTGTGTTTTCACCAAATCACTACTTAATTCGAAACGAGTTTTTGGTCTGTTGCCGAAGCAAAAACATAATGAACACTGTATGGTGAGCGCCGCCCCCGCCGCGGATCTGCGAGGCCTCTAGAAGGAGCAATACCAGGGGCTAGTACTTACTTGTACCGGCGGTACGCCGTCCTAGGGCAAGCAACGATAATGAGTGGAGCGTCCACACCAGGGAGCCACAAAGAGTCTTCAGGCGCCGACATCAATCGGTACAAGCTAGTCGAATGGTGTGAGAAAAGTGGCGATGAGGCGGACGCAGGCCGAAATGCGACATGAGCGGAGAAGATCCGCAATTTGATTTTCATTTAGCTGCGACGGTCGAACATGGACATGCCGGAAACCAACATCTTATGTTCCTTCTTCCGCCGGTATTGCCAAGGACAAGAACCGTGACCCGCATGACAGCAAGGGACACCAAACAGTCGCGAAGGTTTGGCATGTTGAACAGCGTCGTACGCACAAGCCGCGTGTCTTTGCCGGTCCAAACTTGCGTTGCAGAAAAACTGTACCACAGCACCAGCAGCCCGGAGGTGTGATTCTTTCAGCAAGGAAAAAATTCAAAGGCGCGGTGAGAACCCAGCAGGAGACCAGGAATCCCGGCTGTAGCAGGATCTTGAGTTTTGCTGACGCACAAGCAACACACAAGCAGCAGCGGAAAGAATGGTGACGCAGCTTTTCAAGGTGTCTGCACACCACCTCCACAACGGCAGCAGCGGCGGCCGTCAAAGAATCCGGTAGCAGCAGGATTTTGATGGCCCAGCGCCGGAAAGAATGGTGATGCAGCTTTTCATGGTGTCTGCAGCTGCACACCACCTCCACTACGACGGCAACGGCGGCTGTCAAAGAGTCCGGCAGCAATGGGATTTTGATGGCCCAGCAGACCGGCAACATAAATGGTGGCAGTTGCGTGTGAACTGGACCTCCCGCGCGACTACTAGTCTGAGTTCTTGCCTCGGTCGCAAGGAAGAGCAGAAAGAGATAGGAGCTTCATATGTTCCACCCGGCAACGGTCGCATTTTTGCGTAAATTTTTTGGAGCAGTAGCAACACGACAGGGAGCATATTTTGTGGAAAAAAGCAGCCTGCTACTATTCCGGGTGCAACGAAATGCGTATAGACAAGTACGATATCCTGATCCTCGGCGCCGCTCATTTCGACGGTGGTTGTACAGCACTCTGGTACGCGGCGGCGGGGCATCGCGACCTTGACCAGGTTTTCGAGATAGAACGAACAAGTCCCCGTCACATGCGCTGGGCGAGACCACAGAGTCTGCTGGTGTTGCGCCGATGCGTCGTGTGTTGACGTAAAAAATTTGGCGACACTTCTCAACCGGCACGAGGGAATAATGTCCAAGGAGCATCTTTTCCGTCTGTGAAGAGGTCGAGTTACATCATCTTTATGTTTCTCCGTGAGCCAATCGGCTACGGAGTTTCAAGCGCAGCCACTGTGCCAAACGCGACACCCTGATGGAGGACTGGCTCGTCGAGCGGTGGAATAGCGGCAATCGCAGAAGCCTAGAAAGCAGGACTTCCGCTTTTTGCACGATACTGGCGCATCAGTAATCCCGACATTGCTGGCTGCGATGAGACTGAGAGGAGGAAGTACGGTGACGCAAAAATTGACGGCCTCCACCCTTCTAAGTCTCGTTGCCGCTAGAGTCGTCTTTCGGGCAAAGTAACTTGTCGAGGAGTAAGTACGAAAACAGAAGCGAATGGCTCTTCAAGTACAGGAGCATTGATTGCGGTCGGGAGCTTCGCAGGACGTGTCTTCACCTCCAACTGTCACCAGTCCCAGGTTTCCATCAACACCGCGACTAAGGAACTTGTACTTTCTCCTCGGCGTTGCCGTGTGTCAGTTAGAGTGACACCATACAACCTGTTGACCAATTCGGATCCAGGGGCGTAGCGGCTGTGGCAGCATGATGGTACGTCAGTAATGCAGCGCTCGTGGGGTCTGCGTCTGACAGAAGGGACGCGGTGCCGCAAATCTCATAGACATATTCCGCCAGTAGCTTGAGCTTCTACGCCGGTGCCATAATAGTTCAGCAGGCAGCTTCTGCGTGGCAGGACAAACGAGGTAAAAGTAGTTCTGCAAGAACAGGTCCAGCAACCGAGTAGTGCCTACTGCAGCACAGCATCGTCAAAACCTCCAGAAAATACCATGAGCAGTGCCGGAGTAGCCCCGCACGGTGTTCGTGTTCCGAGCTCGGAGCCGCTGGGTTTGCAGCTCGAAGAATAGCAATAGCCGGTTGAGTTCACAAGCGCGAAGAATAGCAGTGCGTCAACCCGCCTCCAGCAGGGTTGACCAACTGGGAGGAAGTAGCGCTGGCATCCGCCTTCAGCAGATCCAGCAACAATAGAAAAAGAAACTCGGCTCAATCCCGCCTCCAGCAGGGTTGACCAACTGGGAGGAAGTAGCGCTGGCATCCGCCTTCAGCAGATCCAGCAACAATAGAAGAAGAAACTTGGCTCAATCCCGCCTCCGGCAGGGTTGACCAACTGGGAGGAAGTAGCGCTGGCATCCGCCTTCAGCAGATCCAGCAACAATAGAAGAAGAAACTTGGCTCAATCCCGCCTCCAGCAGGGTTGACCAACTGGGAGGAAGTAGCGCTGGCATCCGCCTTCAGCAGATCCAG